TCACCTCAGCCTCCCAAAGGCGCGGGATTACAGGCTGAGCCACCGAGCCTGGCAACATTTACTTTTTACCATTTCCTGTAGCTTTTTTACCACAAACATGGGTAACCTTTATAATTTAAAATAGCTAGTGAGAACATGTGGTACTGAATGCAACATGAAAAGGACTGGCAATAGTGGGACAAAAATAACCAGGAGAGAGAGGGAGGGAGGAGAGGGCATGTAACATCAATAAGGTACCTGATTCTAAACCAGGCGAAGTGACCAATGGGAGGCACAAACTTCACCTGTACAATGACCACTTATGTATCTAATCCTGAATTGTACCGTACATCTTTAAAATACAAAAATACTATTTTCAAGAATATGCTCATATTTTATCAACAAAAGTTAATTTTTCTGAACAACTAATTCTAGTTGAAGAATAAATTTAAGACTAGTTTATTAAGAACATGATTCCCATTTCAATAAGCGCAAGTTTTCAACAGTTTACTATTTTTTTTAAAAAAGTAAATACTTGTTAGTGCCTTTGAAACTCCTGAAATTATTAGAACATAATTAGTAGTGAGCAATTTTGAAATGATTAATATCAGATGATATCCAAAAAAAGTAACTGTACTTCTACATATTAAAGAGTTTGATGATTATTTATACAATTAAAACATCTTTACTATACTTTTGAGAGAAATCTTGTGTATCCACTAACCAGAAACTTGATAATGAATCAATTTGATAGAAATGGTTTAATTGGGATTGAAACTAGGGGTAGCTACAGTTGTGATAAATAGGTGAAGCACTGCTTTTTTATTATTGTTGTTGTTCTGAGAAGTCATAAAAAATGTAAGATGATCCTTATATTTCAAGGATTTTTGTATCAACACATTTTGTGTGCATAAAGTCCTCTGTCTTCATCTAAGTAAAGAAATGCTGAGCTGGTTAATAATTGCAAAGCACTTTGAAAATATATAAAATGTTCAAGAATAAGTCATAATGCTGTTATAAGAAAGTCTGTATAAGCTGTCAAATTTTCTTTTCTATCATTAATACAATGCTTTTTTCATTAACTTCCCATATATGCTGTCTCTTACCTTTCTTTCAAAGAAAAGAAAACTAAAGAGTCAGAAATTTAAAGGATCTTCTCTTCATGCAGATTAGGCAGCAATATGACTTCCCCATAAAGAAAACTGACAGTCTTGCAAATCAAGTAGGAAACAAGGAAAAACTGAATTTTTTAAAAAATGGAATTTTGGGATTTGATCTATATTCCTTATCCTTTCCCATCCACCAAAATGCCCTTTCCCCAAAACTTACATTTCACCAAGACACAGAGTGTCATCATATTTAATATAATTATTGGACTATCACCTCTTTCTAAATACGGATGATAAAAGGATGTTTCCATTCTTTTTACACTATCAGTTCACCATATGCCTTTAGAATGAGATCTTTAAGAGAATGGAGATCAAGCTGGTAAAGCTTTTAATTCACAAATTTATGGTAGAGAATTCTGAAACTGAGGACTTCATTCTTATAAAAAAAAATTCTAATTCTAGTCATCTTTTATGTGTGCCAGATGTTAAAATTTCTAATATAATATATTTTTTATTATAAGTACAGTATGTCTATAATATAGAAAAATATGATATAGAGTATATGAAATCTCATAGTTTTATGATATAAATACATAGGATAGAAATTTTAAGATTTAACAGATATGGGACAAAAATTAGAAATTTTTCATAAGAATAAACTCTTCAGTGTCACAATTTTCCATTTATCATAAATTTGCAGTTTAAAATCCTACATCAGCATTATAGAAATATTCATTTTAATGTGTTCAAGCTGTTTCATTTCCTCTTTCTAACCAGACCATCATTTGAACAGATACAGGGTTGCAAGCTGATTCATTGCATAAGCACTTCCTTCCTGGTTGATTTGTTTCTACTACATTCATTATGAGGATATGTATTTGAGCTTTAATCTGTCTCGCTCATTAATTTCAAGTTTTATGCCTTATTTATCTGGATTTTTTTATTTGGGGGTGTAGATTGTAGTTTCTGTAAACTTTCCCATTGTTTTAAAATAATCCCGACAGATTTTGCAGTTATTTAGGTTTTAACTTTAAGGAAGTGGATTTTTTAGTACTAATAGTGATTTTAAGTGTGTGGTTCCAAAGCCCACCTATATCAGAACCACAGGGGAGCTTCTTAAAACCACAAAATTGCTAGACCATATTTCAAATATCTGAAATAACAATCCCTGGGGTGGAGCCTAGGAATTGGCATTTTAAAAAATGTGCTTATTTATTATAGAGTTGTGGGATACAAGTGAGGTTTTGCTACATAAGTATTTCTTAGACTCACTGAAGTTTAAAACTTGCTTTCCTAGAATGAGGATATTTGCGTTGCAATGTCTTTCCTATATTTTCATTACTTATTAGAATAATTTAGAATTTTCACCCTGAATTTATTATAAGATTGTTTAATTACATTGCTAAGCTATTCATTGGATTTAAGGCACACTTTCAAGTGGCTAAAAATTCTAAAAGAGCAATAAATCCATTTCCCATAACTAATCCATTAGTTTTAATTCCACTTGCTTGGGGGAAAGCCAACTCTCATTATGAACCTCACTATTGGCAAGCATTGAGGGAATCTATTTTAGCAGGAAGTGAATAGGAATCAATAAGAAAGTAAAACTAGATCAGACTATTTTTAGAAAAACAAAAAGACTTTTTGAGAACAGTGGGAAAAACAATTACTAGAAATATATTTGATTGACAGACATATTTTGAGTGGTTTTAAAATATTAAGCACCCAATAATACCTGGTCCTATGCTAAATCCTTTATAGGGCATCTCAGGTAAAGCCTCTGCTATGTGGAATCTTAAGTGTGATGTACATTGTAGTGTCAAGAATAAGCGAGAATTAATAAATCTGCGCCATTTATGACAGAACTGATGAAGCTAAGTATTGCTTCAAATGTAGGAGGATAGTACAAAGAAAGGAGCTAAGCAATACTTACGTTACTGTTCCTTTCTTCTGAATGTTTGGGAAGGGCCCATGGAGAAATTGGAGTTTCCAGAAGTCATTTAATGGGGTGGGGGGAGCATTTGGAAGTCTTAGGAGAATACTGGAAGCATAAGGGCTAGACTGTGAGGTCACAGAATCCTGGAGTAAGAGCAAGCCTCTGGGCACTGAGTGAGACTTAGGTGAAAAACTTCCAGGATGGAAGCCAGGGAGCTAGAAGGAATTTGTCACAGTCTATTCAGAAAAATACAAGCAGGGCCTAGGCTGTGGCACTTTCAATGTGCTTATTGGATAGAGGGAACAAATATAAACAGTACCGTAGAACAGAAATGCCAGACTTGCAAATACTGCATTTAAAGGCCAAAAGAGAGCAAAGTCCATGTAAGTTAAAGGAACGATTATGTAGAGAGAATAAACGTAGAAAAAAATGATTTTTTCAATGTTTGTATTGATAAACCATATGCAACTAGAGGTAGTATTAGTGAAATGTGGACTTTAGTAAGGCTTAATGTTTCAAGGATATGTGCTGACAATACAAAGAGTTGGTATCTGTGAGCTAACTTCTGGTTGAGCCTTTTCATTGCTGTAGAGGCCTTGAGTAGATGCCACAGGATAAAGAATGACAAAGTATAAAGAGGATCTGTGTAAGTCATGGGCTAAGAAAGTATAGAATTTGGTGATGTGTAATAAATATATTCAAGTATCTATTTCATCAAAAATTTCCCTGGGCAAGAAAAGAATTTTCAACAACCCAAAAAGCAGCCCACTTGCTAAAGCAGTATTTGCTACAACAAACCTTTTCCATAAATTAAGCATATGCTGAATAGTCCCTTGACATTATCATCATTGGATTTGACCTGTAGTAACAAAGCAGAAAGGACAAAGAAAATGGGAGTTATGTTTGTGGTGCTGGTATGTGAGCTGCCCAGAAATTCACAGCAGTGAATCCAGTCAATTTCAACCTTCTCTGACTGAAGATCATCCATAGAATTCACCTTTTTCCTCTTCTTTTAAAGTCTTAACTTTGATTCTGAGAAAGGGAGGAAGTATGGTCAATTTCCTTGTGAGTTAGAAGTGCCAGTAAAGGATCTGATTGCAGAGAAGATTAGAAATCAGGTGAAGTTTCAGGTTTCGTAGAAGCAAGACTTCCCTGTTCTCTATTAATGATCAAAAGTTGCCAGAGTGTTAATACTCAGAGTTAAGTAAGTTCTGGCTGTCAATTAGAATCATAAGTATACAAGATTTTCTAAGGCTTTATTTTAATTCTTTTTCTATCCTTTGCAGGTGGTGCTTGGCACTTTTCATTTAATGTGAAATTTTATCCACCAGATCCCGCCCAGCTATCTGAGGATATCACCAGGTATTTGAAAGTTGGCTATGAAAAAGGCAGGCAGATAGGGGCAGTTGTCCTCTTCAATGCTCTGGAGAAGAACATGCTTACATCTGATAGCGTTACAATCATCCACGCTCAAATGGCAAACAAAAGGCAACCGAATGAGAACAAACATCTGATGAGAAGATTTGCCAAATCCTATATTTTCACAGTTGAATCTTTGGTGCCAGGCTGATGATTCCCTCTGCCTGACCCGAATGGGAAAACATGTAGAAGTGAGATACTGTCATCCACCCACCATAGCCAAATTGGATGAGATTCAGCCTTAAATGATATAGCAATTCTTACTCCTCCTACTTTAAAACTTTGAATAAAAATGTCTTTGGGTGCTTATGCTTTTATATGATCAATAGACACACATACACACACACACACAGATACACATATACATTTAAGTGTCTATTTTCTATGCCCTATATACACAAGGGAAAGTATTAATTTGTTTTCTGGAAAGAAGGTATTAAGAAGGGAATCAGACATAAAAGTATTACAGCTTGGTAACTGAGCTTTGAGTATGAACGGGAATCCCATTGTAAAGCTGCAGAGGATGTCTTAGTCTGGGCTGCTGTAACAGTACCATAGACTGAGTGGTTTATAAACAATAGAAATGTATTTCTCACACTTCCAGAGGCTTCGAGATTAGGGTGCCAGCATGGTTACACTCTGGTGAGGGTTCATTTTCAGATTGCACACTGTTGACTTCTCGTGTCCTCACGTGGTGGAAGGGTGAGGGGATCTTTCTCTGACTTTTTTACTGTAACTTTCTTACTTTATAAACTTTTTATTTTTTAACTTTTGGATTCTCTTGCAATAACACTTAGCTTAAATCACAAACACTTTGTACAGCTGTACAGAAATTTTTTTCCACTGTATTCTTATTTTGTAAGCCTTTTTCTGTTAAAAATGTTTAGAATTTTTTTTCACTTTTTTGTTAAAACTTAAAGCACAAATATACACATTAGCCTAGACTTACACAGGGTCAGGATCATCAAAATCACTGTCTTCCACCTCTGCATCTTGTCCCACTGGAAGATCTTTAGGGGCAATAACACGCATGTGCCATCATCATCTATGACAACAATGACTTCTGGAATACCTCCTGAAGGACTTGCCTGAGGCTGTTTTACAGTTAACTTTGTTTTATAAATAAAAGGAGTACACTCTAAAATATCTATAAAAAGTATAGCATAGTAAACTGGTAACATTGTGCTTTATTCTCATTATCAGATGTTATTTATATAGTACATAATTGTGTATGCTAGACCTTTATATGACTGGAAGCTACAGTAGGTTTGTTTACATCAGCATCTCCACAAACATATTAGTAGTGTGCTGTGCTATGTTAATACAGCTGTGATGTCACTAGGTGATAGGAATTTTTCAACTCTATTTTATTCTTATGTGACCACCATCTTATATACAGTCTGTTGTTGACTGAAACATCATTATGTGGCACATGACTCTATTTAGGACCATTGTTCTTATAATTCCCCCAACCAAAGGTATCAGGGAGTGTGTTGAGGACTGTTCAGCTAACTTTAAAAGTTATTTCAAAAGTTATTAGAAGAATATGTCTGTAGGTTTCTTTTACGCTGTGCTTTATTAATAAAACTCTGCTTTATTGTGAACATCTTCTTGCTTCTAAATGCCCTTAAATATAATACTTTGTAGTCAAGTATTTTCCCTTATATCGAGATCAGTTATAGATGAAATAAAGATCAAAATATATAGATGCTACAAGACTTATCCTACCCACAATTTATACTTAATGATCTCCTTTTTATATACCCTAATGCTGGTCTTTTTTTTTTTTTTTTCTCCTTTTGGCTCCTGGAAGGTACTACCTCTGCTTACAACTGCGAGATGACATTGTGTCTGGAAGGCTGCCCTGCTCCTTTGTTACCCTGGCATTGCTGGGCTCCTACACTGTTCAGTCAGAACTTGGAGACTATGACCCGGACGAATGTGGGAATGATTACATTAGTGAGTTCCGCTTTGCACCAAACCACACTAAAGAACTGGAAGATAAAGTAATCGAGCTGCACAAGAGCCACAGGTTAGTGGCAGAAAACCTGAGAACATTTATTTAAGTTGTGCCTTGACACAACGCATCTCTCCCCGGTACTGATTTCAGTCTATTAAGGATGGGACTTTAGCGGAGTGACTCTGTACAGGATAAAATTCTGGGATAAGTAAGCTCTTACTCGGAATGTTGAGGTGCTATCTGTAACATTTTATTTCAAAATCATTTTTCTTGTTATTCTCTCATATATTGGCTGGTGCAGAGCATATACCTGCTGGTGCCTCAATGGCTAGTGCAAGGGATGCCTTAGTTAGAATGGAGCTAAGGGGGGTTATTTTACAGATCACCTGGTAAAGAAAGAGCAGCTAACTGATAGGAACAAGCAGCTAACTGCTTTATAATTTTTAATTCTAATAAGGAAAAGCAGCATTGTAACACTTTTTTTTTTCTTATCAGAGGAATGACACCAGCAGAAGCAGAGATGCATTTCTTGGAAAATGCCAAAAAATTGTCCATGTATGGGGTAGATTTACATCATGCCAAGGTACCATTTTTTTTTTACACCTGAAACTTTCTGTTTAATGTTATTTCACTCAATGTTGTTAATGTCATAAGCTGGTTTTTACTTCAGTTAATGTAAACAAAAACTTTAGGGATTCAAATCTGTGTTTGCCATTTAAGCCTTACTCCGTGATATAACAAATTTAGCTCTGGTATTTACCAAAGGATTTGCTTTTCATGGCTCAAACTTATACTAGTTCTAGGACCAGCCTACTGAATGCCCATGATAAGCAAAACCTCTGAATGCCTGCTGATGCAGTTAGAAACTTATCTTGACATACGAAGCTCTGAGCTTACCCCGCCTCTTGTTGCCATTGTATTTCCCATTCTCTGCTCACACATGCCCTTTGCTTCCATCAGGCCCTGTCTCTGCCTTTTCCTTAAATATGTCTGTTTCTGAACTCTCCTGCTCTTTCTTGTTTGTCTGTCCAAACTTGACCAATTGCCCAATACCTAAGTGCCCCATCTGTTATGTGACAGGTACTATGTATGTCCCTGTTCTGGACACCAACCAGGTTCACATAAAACTTAGATAACTTTACTGCTAAAGTTTAGGTAGTCTGACAAGTAACTTTGAAATAAGATTGGTAGAGTTCACCCAGGCTAGGGATTGTCTCATTGACTGGTGATTGGTAAAATGTTAAAGATGTATCCTGGGTACAGAATCTTGGGAAGAAAGAAGTTGGAATTAGACTATAGGAGGGTACGGTTGTGAAGATACCCAGAACAGAATCCAGAATTTTTGTACTTTTCAGCAGCAAGAGAATGAGCATATGGACCATTGGTTTATTTAAACAGTCATGAATAAAAACCCTGTGGAAATTTGGGACACTTTTATGAAAACTTTTATCAGCAAAACGTAAAATTTGTTAGTATCCTGGAGATGGATTTCACTATGTTAGCAGTGTTAAAAACAGGTCAGTGTTTAAAGGTCAGAGGTCATTTCTTGTGATTGGGGCTGACAAGATAACATTGTCCTAATTAGGGATGTGTATTTGACTTTTCAACTTCTGATAGACAGAGTTAGTCACCAATTTCACGGTCTGGGACTCACAAGACTGTGCAATTGCAGGTTTCCAGGCAAGTGAATGTTTTACACTGTTAGGTTTAAGGTCTAGAGATAAAGAGAATTTCAAATGTCTCTGTTAAAGCAAACCTCTCAAAAACCCCGAAGACCCATGACAGGGAAATCAATGATTTGTAGGGTCCTGTTGATGCTGAAAACCAGGTTGCTGTTTGGTTGGCAGTTTAGGAAGAGAGTAATCCCACAGGAGAATGGACAGAGGAATGGTGACCATTGAACCAATGCAGGCTTGATTGGTTTTGTCTGTAGATCTCTTTGTATATTACACAGGATTAGCACTCCCAATGCCTGAGAACTAGACTCCGCAGGGGCTTATACCAGGGATGTGCTGGCACACTGAATGCCAAGCTCTTTGACATTTGTGTGTAATTACAAGGGCAGGTGTAGCTCTGTTGACTTGCCAGTTATTATTACACTTTTTCACTTAGTTTGCCCTCAGGTAACAAAGTTGTTTTCTGTTTTATGCAGGTATGAGGTAGGGTGAAGATTTCAAAATAAAAATGAGGACAGATGCTAAGGTTTTTTTTTTTTTTTTTTTTTTAATTTTTCTAAGCATTTTTCCCTAGGTGACTAAAAAATAAGGAAACAAGAAGGAAATGAAGGTAGCTTGAGAATTTGAGCGAACCTAAAGCTATTTTTGAGTTACATCACGTATTCTGATTCACTTACTGCCCAGAAAACAAACAAATAAATGATTAGGGTGTGCATTTAGAGAAGTGCAACTCAGGATGCATCAGTGTTTCTATCAGTAAAAATAAAATCACTCAACATTGCTATAGTTACTAAATTAAAATAGATGGCTGCCTTTTCATTTAGTAATGTGATTTGGAATTATGTCAATTAAAAAGAAAGAGAATTAAGGAAGTGCAAATGCAGCCTGTTGTAGGATTTTATCTGAATATTAAGTATAACAGATAATTCAGTTATAGACTCCACTTTCCCATGCAGCCACATTCTATCATTTGAAGAAGGAAATTTACTGAATTAAATTAGAGCTAATTTCCGGTTATATAAGTGAGATGTTTCTCTTCTATTGATGGCATAAAAGACCCTGAGCTTTATGTTCCATTTGAAAATTCCGAATTGTGATCTTGAACTCCACAGTTCTGTGTAAGGAATTAATACTCATATTAGATGAAGGTCCTATGTTTTGGAAAACCTATTCTAAATGGTTTATTTTTTTATTTGAAAGTCTGTCTCTGCTTGTTTGTCACAAGAGAATGGTGACCACTGATGTCAGTATTAATAGACTTTGTCATAGTCATTTGCTTTATGTAAGATTCTAAAATGTAACTATAAATCCATATGGGCCATCTCATGGACCAAGGGATACTGAAGCATGGCAGAGTTTGAAGAGTGATTTTAAATTAAGGAAATAGTATGCCCCTTTATTTTTATTGATAGACTAAGACTACTCGATCTACACTTAGTGCTCCCTGGGTAAAGGGAATATAAACATTTATTGATAATGAAATGTACATCTCCAAAAAAGACTGTTTTGATAACTTTTAAAACAAAAGATTTGTCAAACTAACCTCAGACTATGGACTATGGCAGAAAACTTCATTTGAAAAATATCTTTGTTTTGTTGCTGTGCAATTAATGAAATGGAGACTCCCATCCCATATAAAGCCCCACTTGTTCCTGCCATTTTCATTTCCATTCACTTTTTTTCCCCAACAGACATGTGTAATGACTTAACACATGTGAGACAGGCCCCGTGCTTGCCATGAGGTCACAAAGATAAACAGAGCTCCTGCTGTCTACCAGCTTTTGGTCTCCAGGAGAAGGAAGATGGATGGGAGTCTATTTCAGCACCGTTTACTAAGGTTTACTAGAGATAACGGATTTAATTTGGGGACACACAGAAGCATGTGTTGGAGACAAGAAGAGGAGACATCAGAGCCTTCCTCATCTTCCTCATGAAGGGGGGATACTGTTTTTTTATGATTCAAAGACACTAGTGGGTGCTTTTGCAATTTCATTAAAAATTTCATTATTATCTAATAATGAAAAAGGTGCTGAAAGTCCTTTTCCCCTGTAGTTTGGGGACATATTTCCTAAACTTATGTTCTATAGTTATCAAAAACAGAGTGAATAAAAAAGCAGTTATTCTAGTTTCCTTTTTTCTCACGCCTGCATTTTGCCCATGGTGTGAGGTGGTCACTTCTGGGTGGTTGTGCAAACAGATCACGGGTTCTAAAGGATCAATAACATCATCTGCTTGTCAGCATCAGATTATAACTCTTAAAATTGCCCTTTCAAATTAAAGCCCTTGATAAATGGTGGGCAATTTCTAGTCTTTGAGTTCTCCTCAAATTTTATTATATTGTAATATCCTGCCATCAAATATTCCCACTCCTGTAGAGTAATCTGGTATCTAATGGAATAATACGTTTCCAAGGTAAAATGTTTCATTTTAAACCAATTATATTCTATTTGTACATTTACATTTCCCAGAGATGGACTGATAATTTATTTCTGATTCTGGAAATGTCAGTCTTGAGCCTTGTATTGACAGGATTGAGGAAGTAAATTCCCACAATCACAGAAGTCAGACTCTCCTGTTTAGATTCTTCTGTTCTGCTGATGCTGCAGAGTGACTCAAAGCTGTGAACAGTCTTGCCCATTGTGTGACAAAAGATCTGAATGTAGCTTCTTATGGGTGACCAGGCTATGACCGTTTCTGTTCCCTGCTTCCAACAATCACTGGAATTAAGGGGTGGACTCACAGTCCTGCCTCTATCCTGTCTTTTTACTCCATTCAAGGTCACCATCCATGCTTATTTGACTCTCATTTCAATGTAATACAACATGTAAGGAGAAAAGACCGTACATGGTGTATCATATTAGTTTGATATATCTATGATGAACTCTGGGCATCACGTACTCCTAGGAAATTACCCAAAGATGAAATGTACAGGTAGCAAAAACAACTTGCAATTTTAGTATGGTCTCATTGTTTTTTTTTAAATATGCATATATTTTAAGTGTAGTCATATTTACATATGTAAGCCACATTGTTCAGTGTGATTACCAACCACTGGACAGTATTGGGTCAGGGGGTTGTTGGGGGAGAGAACACTCATACATTTAAAAAAAACTGTTACACATTTAAATTTGTCACTCTGAAAGTAAAGGTGTATACAAAAATTTGAGGCTGATTTAAAAAAAATAAAACTCAAAACCCTCAGAGGAAAGGAGAGGGCTTAACTTGATAGAATACATGTTAGGTTAGAGTGCTGCTTCTAGAACCAGGCTGCTTGTATTCAAATGGGATTCTATGCCTCAGTTTCTTCCCCATCTATAAAATGGGGAGGAAATAATAATAGCAACTATCCCAATATATCATAGTGAAGATTAAAATAGTTTATAGAGCAGCACCTGTTACTTAACTGAAGGCTATTATTATTGCTGTCACCAATACACCTTCATTTGCTTAGCTTTCTTGGTGTGCAATATTTATGTTATATGTTTAAGTTAACTGGGAGAACAGATTTTACTCTAACAGATCTCCAGAGTGAATATTCTCACTAAAAGGCTATTATGTAATGGTAATGTTTAAAACATAGCTGTAGTATTTTTCGTATTTAAATTAGCCAATTACAGGCTCTGTCATGGAGGCTTAAATATTATACCCGGTTAAAATTGGAAATGAGTGAGATACTGATTTGTTGTTTCTTCCTGCTATTTTCCAGGATTCAGAAGGAGTAGAAATCATGTTAGGAGTTTGTGCAAGTGGTCTGTTGATATATCGTGATCGACTTCGGATAAACAGATTTGCCTGGCCTAAGGTTTTAAAAATTTCTTACAAACGGAACAACTTTTACATTAAGATCCGGCCAGGAGAGGTAAGTACACTCATATTTGTGTGTGCATTAGGAAGAAAGATCCCTGATAGCAAGCAAAAATTTAAATTATCTGCTCACAGATTCTAAGCATTGTAGGGCATGGTGAATTACATCTACATGCCAGAGAGAATTTATTGTAGGTTTGTCTCATAAACAGCAATAAATATTCTCTTCTTTATTATGTTGTTCCAATTTTTTCCTATTGCATAAATTAATTGAAGGGTTTTAAAAAACATTTTAATATATAATGCAGAATATCATGAATAATTATTTGTATACTTCAGGCTCTAATGAGCACATCTCTTCCTATATGCCTTGTTATTATATCTCCACACCCTTTATTTGCCCTGCAAATCTGGTTGCACCCTAAAAGTGAACAATTTAGAAATCATATACTTCTTGGTACAAAGAATATTAGAGCAAGGGATGATGAGTGTGAATTATGTCATTGTTTCACAGCCCAATATATTTTCACTTAAAAAAAACAATTAGAGAAGCTAATGAAAGAATCAGAATTGTTAGCTATTCCTTACTCCTTGGGCAACAACTGCATGATCAACATATATTTATATCTTCCTTAGTGATTTGTACATAATGGTAGTACATATCTGCTCTTATCTGCTTAAGAGATAGTACATACCTCAAATTTCTTATGGTCTGATTCATAAAATGGAGGCAGTCCTCATCTTTGCCAAAGCCTCCAACAACAGCCACTGAGGAGAGGAGAACCTATTCAGTAAAAACGGTGCTGGGAAAACTGGCTGATCACATGCAGAATATGGAGACAGGACCCCTACCTATCACCATACACGAAAACTAACTCTAAATGGATCAAAGACCTGAACATAAAACCTCAAACTATAAGAATCTTTGAAAATGCAGGAGACACCCTTATGGAAATTGGAACTGGCAACTAATTTCTGATCAAAACCCGAAGTGCCCATACCATAAGAAATAAGATAGACAAGTGGGACCTCATCTAATTGACTAGCTTCTGCAAAGCCAAAGAAACCATCAAGAGAACAGGGAGAAGACCACAGACTGGGAATAAATATTTCCCAACTGTATATCTGCCAAAGACTTAACATCTAGGATCTACAAGGAGCTCAAATGTGCCAAAAGGAAAAAAAATAGCCCCATTACAAAGTGGGCAAAAGACATGAATAGACACTTCTCAAAAGCCAACAGACACATGAAAAAGTGCTCAGTCTCACTAGTCATTAGAGAAATGCAAGTCAAAGCCACATTGAGATACCACTTAACTTCAGTAAGAATGACCATCATTAATAAAACAAACCACAGATGCTGGTGAGGATGCAGAAAAAAATGAATATAAAGCATGTAATTATGTTTAATATAAGTATAAAATCATAGTTATCTGTGATGATTGAAACAATCTGTAAACTTTTCATGTGTGTACCTGAAATTGTAGTATTTTGAAAATATTTCCTAAATACTATATATTAAACTTACAGTCAATATACATTCATTTGAATGTATTGAACATTTATTAAGTGATCACCCATTTTTTTTCAGGCATTAGAAACAGAAGGGTAAATATGACCTTGTTCCTGTCCTTCGGGGATTTTCTATTTAGTAGAGAAACAGACTCACACACTGAACGATAGATACCACGATACAAGTGAGATGACAGTCTATTGACATGGAATGAGCATAGTGTTGTGAGAGGCAGAAAGGAGGGCCGACAAAATGAGTCAGTAGTGTGCCATTGAATGTTTTAAATTAGGACATGGCACAACTGGATGAATATTTTGGAATCATAGATTTCTTAATTAACAACTTAGCAGTGTGATGTGATAAGACCTAAACTAGGGCAGAGGCTATGGAAATAGAAAAACAGAACACCTCTGAGAGAGTGGTTTCAGAGGCAGGACCAGTAGGTCTTGGAGACAGGCTGGAGGAAAGGAGAAAAAGAGGGAAGAGTTAGAATAACCAGAGGTTTTCATTTGCATGAGTGATGTCAACAAAGATGATATTATATAGGAGAGAAAAAGGAATTTCAGAAAACAGATTGAAATTCCTTTGGGACAGATTTCCTGGAGGGAATTCATGCATTGTAAGATATTAGGCAGAATTGTCAACATGTATGTATTTTATTGAAGGCCATAGACATGAAATAAATAACCCAAAGAGCAAGGAAAGTTAGAGAAGAGGCCCCAAAACCAAAATACCACTATTCTGGATAATACCACTATTTGAGAAAGAAAAAGGTACAAGAGGAACATAGGGAGATTCAGAAAAATGGTCAGAGATGTAAAAGAAGGAGCAGAGACTGATGGATGACCAGGAGATGAGTTTCAGGGGGAAAGCGGTTAACTAGCAGTGCCATATATTATGGAGCAGGCACACAGGATGCGGACTAACAGAAGTAGGTTGAGCTTGACAGTCAGGTCCCATTATGACATTGCAGAGTTCAGGAAGTTGTGAGAAGCACCTGCCAGTATGCAGTAAGGTCAGAGGTGAGCAGCATAGGCAGAGGTGAGCAGCATAGGCAGCAGGTAGTGGCTTCTCTTTCCTGAAGTTTAGCAGTAAGATGAGGCTGTGGTTCCAGCAGAAGCAGGCTCAGATAAAGTTGGTTCCTTCCTCCCTTTTTAATGATGATATTCTCAGGCTGAGAAGAGTAAGAAGAAACTCTTGATGGCACGCAGACTTGAAAGAAATGCATAGGTTTCTATCCTATTCATTTGGTTGGAAGAAGTGGAAAGAGATGGATAAATCTTTGAAAATCTAGGTGTCTGTGTCATTCTTGCCAAAGGATGTTAATAATAAGAGACTCTTCCCAGCTTTTTGCAACAGAGAGCAAGTTGACTCTTCTTTATAATCCTTGGCCTTAGTATAGTGTTTGGTGCATGTTAGTTGCAGGATGAGTAGATGGATGATGGTTTAGTCAAGAACAAAGTACTTCTGGCTTGAGAGGTCCCTTGGACAGTAGCGATTTTTACAACAGCCATTGCACAGTCTAGAGTGAATAAGAAGTTAATAAAGGCAGTTGTGGTTGGAGCAATTTGTGAGGTATTTCCCAGTTTCCCCAGTCAACCTCAACAAACAAGAAAACAGAATCACACATGACTGCATCTCACATGCCATGCATATGGCCCCTCCCTATGTTTCTCTTGTGCCTTTTTCTTTCTCAAATAGTGGTATTATCCAGGGTTTTGCTATAGATTACATCAATAGTCTGGTTGTGCTCTTTTGGAAAGCCTTTACTGTTTAAGATGATTGCCCTCTGGTGGCCTGATATATGCCTTCTTCAGAAAATAAAAAGGCTGTACGTCTGAAATAATAATATTCAAGTATTTTATGCAGGAAATCAGGTGAAGTATTTCACCTCAAAAAAACCAATTGACTGGTAGAGCATCATCTGAAAAATATGAAAATGTGTTCTCTCAGTCTCTGATCTTATGTATAATACGATGTTAGCATTTCCTTAACATGTTAGTATTTAACATGATAATCCATAGTGGAACACGCAAATAAAATCATCAATATCTGACAAATATCTGACATCAGCAAGTCATCAAATACCCAGGACATATACGTATTTTCTTGCCAAATACTAGAGAAAATATTATTTCCAAGAATGCTATGGATTATATCTGTAAACATTTTGTTCATTTCAGTACATTCTAGTTGAAGTCATCATGTCATTGAGAAACCATGAAAATAAAACTTAAAAATGAGATGAGTACAAATTGATTTCTGGAAGGAATCCAAATGCCCTCTTTTTTGTGCTTAGTTTTCATTTCATAAGATCCATACTTGTACAAAAAACATTTTGCTACATGCATAATGTAGATATTTATACCTGCAGCATTTTGTGTAGCATTTATACCTGCAGCAGCAAAGTTTTTTAAATGAATGAACATGCATACTATGAATTGTAAATATAGCAATTGACTTAATAAGCAAATTTTTAAATTGTGGTAGCATAATTTTGTAAAATATGTGTAGAGATTCTGTTTTTCATAATTCCAAACTTTCCTCTTTAATGTATTTTTTTTCATTTAGTTTGAACAATTTGAAAGCACCATTGGATTTAAACTGCCAAACCATCGAGCTGCCAAGCGTTTATGGAAAGTATGTGTTGAGCACCATACATTTTTCAGGTAGGTATACATTATGCTATCTTTCCTAAGGAAGAACTAGGATAGTTGGAATCACTTATACTGAAAAAGATTGCTGGGAAGAGTATATGGAAGCATATCCTTACTACTCCTTTGAGTTCATTGTCAGCAGATTTCTTGTAAGAAATCCTAAAAGAACTAGAAAACGACTAAATTTGTAGGATTTTCCTTAATTTGGCATGTACTTATCTGCCTCAGTCTCATTTCTTCATTATCTTTAGTGTCTTTTTGTTGTTTTTATAGGGTGTTCACTTCAAGTATCCAATCCATTACTTACTATTTCTCAACCAGGACTCCTTTACCCCCACATGTAGTATTCAGCCTGTCAGATTTATGCCTACAAAATAACACATACTACTTCTTCTTCTTCTTCACTAATAGCACCCATTTAATTGCTTTTTGGGCTTTTAGAACCAAAGACTCTCCACCTTGTATGGAATGTCAAAAGTTGATCAAGTTCAACACAACCATCATTTCGATTATATTCTCTCTATAGTATCTCTACTTGACATATTACTATGTGAATTTATTTTGTTTTTATGAAATCAGATTCACTTAATTGCAAATTGTATGTTGAACCTTTAGCACACTAAACACATTGGCTCTCATAACAGATAGTAAAAAGTTAAAAAAACATTTTTAATATTTGACTTAATAGTCTTTCTGGTGTTTTTCTTTCATCTTTTTAGACTATTGTTACCAGAAGCACCTCCAAAGAAATTCTTAACCTTGGGTTCCAAGTTTCGTTACAGCGGCAGGACACAAGCCCAAACAAGAAGAGCCAGTGCATTGATAGACCGCCCAGCACCTTACTTTGAACGCTCATCTAGCAAACGTTATACCATGTCTCGCAGCTTGGATGGAGGTAAGCATCACTTACTTGTCCCAATAACCACTAGTAACTATCCCCAATAGAGTATGACACCATCATGACCTTTCAATAACCATAGATCATCTTGGATATTGTATATTGAAAATGTTGGTCTGTGGCCAAATGGCAAATTTTTAAGTTTTCCTCTGGGGAGAGAAAACATGCCTTTCTCAGTCTAACATCTATAGATCTATATAAAATTACGTGAAAGTAGCCAAGTGCAGTGCCTCCTGCCTGTAATCCCAGCACTTTGGGAGGCTGATATGGGAGGATCACTTGAGACCAAGAGTTTGAGACCAGCCTGGGCAACGTAGTGAGAACCACCCTGTCTCTACCAAAACTGTAAAAAGGAGCCAGGCATAGTGGCATGTGCCTCTCAGTTATTAGGGAGGCTGAGGTAGAATGTCCAGGAGTTTCAGGCTTCAGTGAGCTATGATCACAGAGACCCTATCTCACAAAAAAAAAAAAACAAACATAAAACAATAGTACTTAGAGAATAAAAAACATACCTTTCATAGGCCAGCACCCTGAATTTCGAGAAAGATGTTCTCGTTCTAAATATAGTAGTTACATACTCCGTGAGTGATTTGATTATCTTGCCAGCAGATCGTAAATGATTGACAGGTGTTAGCTTCTTTGCTTCATTAAAACAAACAAAAACCTGTAAGTTAAATTTATCTTTGTTTCTTTAAAAATTTTGTGAAAAAAAATGTGGCCTTTATCAGTCAATTGATAATATCTGACAGAAAGGATGATATTCAAATATAAAGCAAGGGGCTCTGAGTTAAATTCTCCTTGTTAAGTCTAACCACTACTCCAGATGGACCAGGAGAAAACTGCTATGTCAGGGTTCTGTACTGCCAAGTTGAATGGCAAGTCAAATGAGTAAAACAGAAAATCACTCAGATTACCTTTTTCAGGAATAATGCAACAGTGGGTTTCTAGTAGGTTTCTGTTTTATATTACTATGCAGAATAACATGGAAGTGTGCTTTCTGCTACAAACCATGCCAGTGGTAGTAATACTTCACTTAGGAGCTGAGTCACGGCTAGGCCTGTCTTCTAATTCAGAGCACCAGGAGATTGGTTGTTTTATAAAAGACTTTATCCTGTGCAAATTAGAAGAATTCGAAGTTTCTGGCATGCATGTGTCATTTGAATAATAAGCAAAAAATAAATAAAAGTTACAAATGTCTGAGATTCTCTCCCTCCCCACCTGTTTTGTCACTCCTTCCCAAGGGTCTCTCCTCTGCCTTCCTCTTTCATCTGCCCTGATGAGAGTGATCGGGCAAGACACTCCCCGAATCCTCCAGCAAAAAAAAAAAGTCTGTATTTTTCTAATGGAATAATCTGTAAACAGTTTGTAGAAGAAATCAAAATTATGTATGTTACTAGTGAGTTGGGAGCAGCACTCCTCAGGCACGGGTAAAAGCAGATGGAAGCCCAGGCTCTGCTGCCCTCTGTGTGACGGTTGGCAAATGATTTCAGCTCTCCACGTCGGTTTTAGTCATCTGTAAAATGGGAGCATGGCTGCCTTTGACAGGGTTGTTGTGAAGAGTAAAATATATGCGAAAGCACTCTTGTTTTAGATATGAGTATAATTATCTCAATAACGATATTTATACTATTCTTACAGGCTTTTGTAACCTGGTCTAGAGAGTTAATTACCATTCTGTATCCTCTAAGGGTTTCCAGAATACCAATTTAGTGCCAGCCCTCTTGGATAAAGTCTTTATTAGGACTGTTTCAGGTTGAATTCAGATATTGAAATAGCCATGTTAACGTTGAAACTTTTCTTTCTACTTTGTCCCGTTGACTCTCCTTTTTCCTTTAGAGAATCTCTGTTAACTATTTGTAAATGCTGTAAATGAGTGTTTGAGGAACTTTTGTGAATCACACCTTTTTTTTCCCTGAATACCATCCACTTTGTTCACTGATATGCACCTCAGGGAACACATTTGTTGTGAATGTTTTTTTTCCTCATGAACTTTTGTGTGATAATCACTGCTGAGAAGACAGAAGATAATTGTGAAATCAGTGTACTAATATCATGCTGTCTCTTCCTCCCTGCTCAAAACTGATGTTAGTATGTGTTGTCTCTCACTCTTTGTGGTCCCACCAGCTTGAGTGTGTTTTCTGCTGCAGCTCAGCTGGGTGGCATGGCTGCATGCCAACATAAATTGCTTTTTGCAAGTTTGCATATTATAGAGAACCACCTAAGTGGTCCATTGGGAAGCTGTGACTCATATAAGCTTTTTCATCAGTTTAAAGAGATATAAAATATCTTAGTGAAAATATTTCAGTGACATTACTTGCCTATTAAAAGGATTTTAGAAAGGATTTTGTTTTACAGTATTTTATTTATGTTTTAAAGTTCCTAAAAGATGAATGCAGATTATATTTTGTCTGTGATTAACTACTGTGTATTTGAAAAGCGGCATTTATACATATTAATAAATTTTATATCTACAACCTAAAATAATGAATACCAAATTCTAAAACTTAAATGAATTAAGCATCTCTTTCACTAAGACATTTTAGCTGGGATGCAAGGCCATATCTTAAGTCTCTTAGGTTTGCATGTTTTACATTTGCATGAATTTTGTTTAATGATATTTGTCTTGTTTTCTCAAATATTAGAGATTAATATATGTATATGTATATATTAGTCATCTGTTTAAAATGCAGTAGATATTAAAACATTTCTGTACTTTGAGTGAAATTGCCATCTAGATTTTATAATCTCTGCCAAGATGGTTAATATTCAATTACCCATGGGGCTTTTATATTGTAAAAGTGATAAACTTATCGATATTAATAATCATCATAATAATAAAACCAATTCTGTGCTCCTGGAATGGCACTTCCAAATAGTCATGTGTATTAGAGCAAGTGTCTACTGCAAACACTGCTGTTAGTTGTGTAACTGGCCGTCACTGCATGCCTGGTGCTAGAGCCAGCCAGTGATTCTAGGGCACCAGGTTCAGCAGCAGATCAGTCTCATGCCTCTCTACTCACCTCCACTCTCACACGTGTCCTCACCAGAGAGCTTGAGAATGGATGAGAATTATTCTGGGATTTCAAGACATGAGCATTTAAATAATTTTAAAGCACTGGTGTTAGGTAATCCAGAAAGATACATCTGTGGTCGTGCTTAGACAAAGGTCCCTGCAGTGTTGATTTGTCTTTTCAAAACAAACCTGGTATTCTGTGGTAGTTTTTTTTTTTTTTTTCCAGTAACGGGATGATTGGTGTTGCTCATCTGTCTTCTGACTTAACGATTTTGGATTCTATTTCTTCAATTATATTTGCTTTTAGCATCAGTGAATGAAAACCATGAAATATACATGAAGGATTCTATGTCTGCTGCAGAGGTTGGTACTGGCCAGTACGCCACAACAAAGGGCATTTCTCAGACCAACTTGATCACCACTGTGACTCCGGAGAAAAAGGCTGAGGAGGAGAGGGACGAGGAAGAGGACAGACGGAGGAAGGCTGAGGAATCCACGCCTGTCTCGGCCATCCGGCAGGAGGGAAAGGTATAGCTCCCAGGCTGCCTCCTAGGGTTTGCCCCAGCTTTTGAGAACTAAATAATTCTAAGACTATAAGCCAGGAATGTGTTCAGACTTAGGGTAATACATATGTTAGTTCTGGTCACATTCGTATGTCAATTTTTAAATAATTCCTGTTTCAACATTTTTCCTCTGAGAGATTCTTTTGTTAACTCTTTGAAAATTTTTATTTTAACAACCTGTATGCTATATAAGACTTTCAACAGCTGTCCTGTGTGTGTAGCTTAAAAATAGTTTTGATGGCACATTGTACTTTTCTGTTTGGGCTCCCATTTCAGAACTGTTACTAAAGCTGTTTATTTGTTTCTGGCCCCAATCTCCTATGTAAGTACGGCATGTTTTTCTAGATATACAGTAATCACATTGCCATTCTTTGGACTACAAGTGCACTGGGCAGTCATAGCCCTGTGTGTTCACACTTATAATCTAGTCAGCAGAGTAGTGAGTGGCCATGTTTTGAAAAGGGATCTTAAGGCAGAAGGTTGCAACAGAAGATGAAAGTGAATTTGGCAGCTGTTTCTTCTGGTGTTTTAATCATTAAATCTTGTGACATCATTTGCCCCCAAATTAAATTTCTTTTTAAACATTATGTTTATTTCTACTGATCCACCACTATAAAGCACCTTTTCAAGAAAAATAATTTAAAAGTCAAAAAAACACTTTGGGGGATTTATACATAGTAATGTGGATAAACAAAATGGCTCCTGGAATGTACAGAGCATAGAGAGGAAAAAACAGAGTAAAAATACTCGTAGAACCCACAAATTATCCTAAAACTTACGTGCTTTTTTTCTATATGAACTCTTCAAATATAGACGTATGTGACAGAATCACTACCTCATACTCTACGGAAAAATGTTTCTTTTGACAAGAATTTAGCAGAAACATCTGAATGGATAGAAAAGTTATTTTTGTAGTTATGTTAGTATAGTCCAAATGACCTAATTCATCATGATGCAATCTATCACTTAAAAAAAAATTTTTTTTTAAAGATAAGAGCATTTATTTGGCAAACATAGAAATAGGCATGGGGTAGAAAATTGTGGTAGAGATATTTGGATCACTTTTGTTGTTAAAATGTGCTTTGTCCTGATTTTTGTTTTTACACTTTTCCTGTCATTTCACTCAAGGAAGGTTTTTAAGGAACAGGAAGAGAAGATAATCTACCCGAAAAGCAAATATGTGATTTTTCTACTTAGGTATTCCAACATTTCTTGATATCACCCATGGATGTGTAAATATGATGAAGTGACACATAAAAGAAATGTTTTTTAGTTTGCTCCCAAAACAGGTCCAGGCAGTCTCACTTTGTCTGATTTTTAAAAGACTATCAATTTGTTTATATAAATTGTGGCACTAAGCTATCCTTGCTTTGTGTTGTTTATGCTATGAGAAAATAAAACTACAAAGAAAACAACCACCGTCCTAGTCTGAGACTCTGAGAAGCCAGTACTTTGAGCAGAATGCCTTCAGGAAGGCCATAACTGAGATCCAGTGCTCCTCTTGGGTAATGGCTGACTTTATATCCCCAGTGCGAAGCTGCCTTTTAAAAAAACTACTTTAATAAGCAGCATGGAAGGTTAAACTTTAATTTTATTCTCCATCTTCAAAAAGTAGCATAGCAGGCATAGTGGCTCATGCCTGTAATCCCACCACTTTGGGAGGCCAAGGTGAGAGGATTGCCTGAGCCCAGGGGTTCGAGACCAGCCTGGGCAACCTGGCAAGACTTCATCTCTACAATAAATCAAAAAATTATCCAGGCGTGGTCATGCATGCCTGTAGTTCCAGCTGCTGTGATCGTGCCACTGCACTCCAGCCTGGGCAACAGAGTGGGATGCCAACTCAAAGAAAAAAAAATTGTTCTTGAGAGACCGGTCCCCTAAATTGTCTAGAAAAGAGGTACATTTCCCAGACTGGTGACCCCTGGGTAAGCCTCACCTCGCTGCTGGAGGGCAGTTGCTGCTATGCAAAAGGTGGCTTCTAACTTCTGCATTATTCTTAGTTGAATGAGATTTGTGCAGGTTCCTTTAAAAATGCAGTGTTTAATGCAAAATGTGAGTGTGTGGGGAAAAAGACATATTTGTCTCACAGTAAAAAGAGACTTCCAGTGCCGATATACCTTGGATATAATTTTATTTGTGCATTTTCTTTCCATCGTGCCTCAGATATTATTTTATTTGTGCGATTTATTTCCCTTTGTTGCTATAATTATCACTTCTCTCCAAGTCAGGATGAGATAGCCACTACAAGGCAGGTTGGATAATTTTCATGCTATCAGGTTACTAGGCAAAACACAAGTACACACACACACACACACACACGCAGTGTCACAGGCAGCAGCAGAAGTCTAAGTATCTGCAGGCTCCATGTGACATTGCTTTGAATTCCCTAGGCTGCAGCAGTGCCTGTGCCTGCCCAGCTCCTGCCTGGAGCTTGCTTGCTTTCCTTCTTGTCGGTGGCCCTTCCACCACCCACAGAGAAGACTGGCCTTGGTCATGGAGACTTCCAGGGCCTAAAGGATGGGAACTAGGCTCACTTGTCCCATCAAAGCTTGAGCTCACCAGGGGGTCACTTGTGGGACTGCCTGCTTTTATCTTTATATTAAGGACTCAAACCAAAGGTATAAACATGGTCATTATCTGCTAAGAAAAATCAGAAAGCTGGGAAATTGTCTTTCTATTATTTATAAATCACAAGTATACAGAGTAAACACTTGCAAACCATGTGGCAAGAAAACACATTCTTTTTGCTTATTGAAATTACTTATTAGAGTTGAAGTTCCATTGACATCCTAAAATAAAAGAGTTTTCAAGGCAATCTCAATTTTTTTGTGGGGAGTCGGAGTTTCTGAAATGCTATAATTGTCAAATCCCCTGATTATAACTGCTTATCAGATAGGAGTGGGCCCAGAAACTTCTTGATTTGGAAACCCACCTGTTTTGGATGTAATTGACTAAGCAAGGAAATGAATAATGCTAGAGATTTTTTTTTTTAATCAAAATTTGGATTGAATTTCACCTTCATTTTTAATCCAGCTGAACTTTAATAACAGCTCTGCTACCTGGAAATCGGGAGAAGGTTATTGAAAGTCTTGATTTTACGTTATCCAAGATTTATGTTTGCTCACAAAACCCTAAAACTTTTCCAGAATTGTCAGTCTAACACAAAATTTTTTGACCATGTAAACCATGTAGATGTTGCCCACAAATACCTTCTGTTCTGACTGTACAAATCCCACCCGGTAGGTAAAGCTCTAATGGGAGAACCGTAGCCACTTGTAGCAATGTTGGCATGCAGCTTGAATACTTTAAAATTCGTGAGCAACCTTAGTGCTGAAATTCGTATTTTACTATTTTATATTGATACCCGTAAGAAAATTAACTAATTGCAGTTTTCTTTTTGTCCTTTTGCACCTCTGTTTGCTGCTTTCTGTCTCTCTCTGTCTCTTTCACATCAGTCACCTGGGCTTGGCACTGACTCATGTCCCTTGTCACCCCCATTAGCCCATTGTGCCCCTGCATCTCCCACAGAGCTCCGTAGGAGGTGTAAGGAGAATGACCACACTCCGCCAGGTTACGAGCCATCCAGAGCTGAGCACGTGCATGGAGAGACTGCCTTGGACTCTGATGGCCAAGGGAGACCTTACCTAGGGGATCAAGACGTGGCTTTTAGCTACAGACAGCAAACTGGCAAAGGAACCACCCTGTTCTCCTTCTCCTTGCAGCTCCCTGAGTCATTCCCCTCCCTCCTAGATGATGACGGGTACCTCTCTTTCCCCAACCTTTCTGAAACCAACCTCCTGCCCCAGAGCTTGCAGCATTACCTCCCAATCCGCTCACCCTCCCTCGTGCCCTGTTTCCTCTTCATCTTTTTCTTTCTGCTGTCTGCCTCCTTCTCAGTGCCATATGCTCTCACTCTCTCCTTCCCTCTGGCTCTGTGCCTCTGCTACCTGGAGCCCAAGGCGGCCTCCTTGAGCGCCTCCCTAGACAATGACCCGAGTGACAGTTCAGAGGAAGAGGTGTGTACCTCGGCATAGAACACGCCTCCCCTTCGTGTTCCGTGCTTCAGTCTGAAACAGTGTTAGCCGGCTGCTGCAATAGTGGTCCTACTTTCAGAGCCTCATTTATTGTCTGTGCCAGTATGTCGAGGTTTTTGTGTGTTGGGGAGTCCAACTCGGGCCCCAGGGTTAGGCACAACACCATGTGGGCATAGCAGTCTGAGCCCAACCCGTTAGCTGTGTAAAAGATTAGGGCTAAGCGAAAGGTTCTGATCATCTGTAATTTAATAAAGAAAATCATACGTGAGACAGATTAGTAGTCTTCAGCTTAAACGTATTCAAGGAAAGGTGGGAGAGAGGGCTACTGGAGAGGATGTATTATTGTCATCTGGGTAGCTTTCCAAAATTGCAAATGCATCTCCTCCCATTTCTGAAATGCCCCCACTGCCCTCTGATTGTCGATGCCAGGCAGACATTGTTCCTCACAGAGGTCGGTCAATCAGATCCCACGGTGTGGGGTCAGAAAGGGTCTAGAGCAGTTTAAAGCACCCACATGATAGCACTCATTGCTAGGACCAGAAACAGAACTGGAAGAAACTGCATGCAGTACAGCAGTGTTCAAACACAGTCAAGAAAAGACTAAAATGAAGTTTCTGCCAATTATAAAAGCGGGCTGACATTTTATCAGTGCCAGCAATGCCAGTGCCGGTATCAGATGGCAGGGTGATTCTTTCAACTCCAACATGAACCAGAAAATTCCCCCATTTTCAGAGTGTGGTAAATTCAGGGAATTTGGCTAGGCCTCTGTAGCATGGACATAGCTGGGGAAAGGCCCCATCAGCCTCTGTCCTTAGAGGCACACTGCTGCTGGTCAGATTCCTGCCCCTTACCCACTTGGGTGAGCTGACGTGGTAGCCACTAGTTTTTCCTAGTAATTGCTCTCCTCTTCCACCACTCCATAGTCCTGTGAACAGCCCAGCGTTTCCCTTTGTGCAGGTTTCAAATAGAGCAGAGAGAAAGAATAGAAACTGCCACCAGAGGCACCTGCTGCCTTGCAGACTCCTGGCCACACCTCTCCCCAGGCTCCCTGCAAAACAAGGGCTGTTGTGGCAGGAGACAAGCCAAATACTCTTAGTGTTAAAAAAAAAAAAAAAAATCACAAAGTCAAGGCAATGCTAAAAAAGGAAAGAAAGTCTATTCATTTCTATGCTCAGTTAGAAAGTCATAATTTGAGCTGTACCTGTGGTGTGTAAGTATCTATATTTAGTGGTGTTACATCTATTTCTTTAGAGTGGAAGGAAAAAAAAATGTGAATGGTCTTACAGGTGTTATAAATAAAGGTTTAGATTTTTCAATTGATATCGCATCAAAGTCCTTTTCAAGGTTATTGGGTTATATATGATGATTAGCTCCAACTGACATACGCATATAAATAACAGTTTTTATATGTGGAAAATATTTTGAGAATTACCTTAAATCCTAACCTTTAATATCGCTATTTTTCATAATGGTACTATTATAAAATAGTGTAGGACTAGAACATACTACAATTAAGAAAACAATATTATTTACAAAGATTGTTTATAATATTAAGCTCTTTTGTAATATGGAGATATATATTTGTCCTTTAACAGCGGAGTTAGTCATCAAGCTAATGTAAAACAAAAAAGATTGCTGTTTTATGCTTTTCTAAATTCTAAATAAATGTTTGAACTTTTATATAGCAAACCACACAGATCTTGTGCCTAATCCAGGGTATACATCTTGTTGTAATCAGTGCATGACAATTAATGTTAAACTTGGGCATGTCTGCATTACATCGGCAAAACAAATCACAGCAGTTAATTGTTGCAAACTAGTTGAACGCATGATTGGAGCTTCCTGGCCATGACTGTCCCTGTTGTTATTGCAAACCTCTGAAACCCATGAATTAGCTCTGACCACTGATTGGAGACTTCGTCACCCTCCTCTGCAGCCTAAGTTGGCCTATGACAGGCCCCCTGCCACCAGACTCTGTGCTGGCCATCTGTTCACCATTGTCTCTTAACCACAAGTGCTAAGAGCTGTGCATTCTAGTTCAGGTTGAGCTAGAGAACTCGTATTTAGGTCATCCCATTTTTTTTAAAAAAATTGCCATTTGCTTACATGACCTGTTTTATTCTTTTGGCCTCAAGCACTTCGTCTGCTGTACTGGGTGACTTCTTAACATACAATTCAGCTCTGTCACTTTTGATTTGCAAAGTTACTAGTGACTAATTCTTTTTAAATATTGTGTCATTTTCAAACTTATTTTCAGCCTTTCTCAAGAGTGAAAGCCATTATAAAAAGGCTTATTCATTTCAAACTATAAAGCTGTTGAGCAGTCATTTTTTTTTTCTTTTTCAGAATGGTCAAATAAGAAAGGGCAGAATATCAAATCATCTATTTAAAAAAATAAGATGAATTTAGCTTTTCATACCATAACATGTAATTACATGAGTAATTTTTTGATAATACAAAGAAAAAGGAGGTGGATTTAAATCTGGAAGAACAATTAATTGACCAACTTATTTATGACATTTAAATTTTATAAACACAATATTATGTGATAGTTCATAGTGTGCTGTACATTTGCAGTTTTGTGTACTCAAAATGTATTTATATAATGTATATAGTACATTATATAAATAATAGTTGCTATAAAAGCTGCTTCATTCAGCCTTTATTACTTCCTTTATTGAATATTGATCAGGCACTATGGTGTTGACTGACTAGATGCTAAGTAGAAATTTTAGGGAGTTTAGATATGGCCTAAGCTATTTGTATGTAGCTAGGAAAAATAGCAATACTTATGTAATATATTAATCTTAATATATTACATTATTATTGGCAATTTTTATCTCTGCGTGTGTCAGGCATTATATAAAGTGGTATCCTTTACCCAATATAGTTAAGGGCTGTGATTTTCCCCATGTTACAGGAAGAAAATGGGGATTAAGTATGAAAAGTACCCCGTGTGTCATAGGTTTGAACAGCAAGGTTTTGAGCTCATGTCTGATATCAACCCTTTGTCTTAATTCTGACTGTATGCTAATACTAAGATGCTTGGAAGTTACTGAGGTAAATTCTAAGACTATAAGAAAAATAATCTAGTAGAAGGAGAAATACTTTCAAGAACCTTAGAAGTGTTCAACACAACAAATTAGGACACTAAGCACAAGTCATTTTTATGTATTCTTGGAAGCCTAAGATCTTTGAGTAATTGTTTACACTTGAACAAATAACCAGTCTCTCTCTTACTAATTCAAACTGGCCTTCCCCAAAGCTGTCAGTTGGTGAAGCCATACTTATACCATAGCAGTAATCACCCTTAGAAGAAAATTAATAGCCACCCCCTGCCCCCAGTTGTTAACCATGCTGATCAGGTCCTGAAAATGTGTCAGCATGCTTTCTTTACCAACCTATGGAAAATTATTTTCCACTTAGGCATGGTAACAAGGATGTCACAATAGCATCATCAAGTGTTTGTGCTGAGCCTGCGTTCCAACTCCTTTTCTTTTAGAAATATATAAAGTGAAACTTGGGGCTAGTGCTGAGAAATCAGCATAGTCAGAGTTATGTCAGTAGAAATAGCACTGTTGTAGTTGTCCCTTCTTGACATTCGTTGTTCTTTGGAGTGAGAGATTATTTTATAAGAAGTAAATTCATGGTCTTAGAACCTTAGTTTTGATTTTTGTTTTCAAAATATTAACCCCAAATCTTTGGTCAAGGGAATTTTATTGGTGATTAGTTGGCATTTGTGGAGGGAAAGCCAGTTAATATATTCTATTAGGATATTTAGATGTCGAAGACTCTACTCCACTCAAGAGGAAGTAGTTTTTGTTTTAAATCATGAACCTCCATGAAACACATTAAATACTGGTCCTGAAATTACTATTCTAATTTTCACCTGAAAACCTAGGCTCTGTCAAATGCTGTGCTTTGTTTTATTTGTTTCCAAGTAAACATCTTTCTCTCTCTCTATTTTAAAAAATGATTATTTTAAAAATTATTATTATTTGCTTCATTTGAATGATATTTTTGGAATGAGATGTTTAAATACCTCTTTATATTGGAGGACAGAGCAAAATAAACACAACAGATAGTCTTCAAAAATATCTAGTTAGCAGTGCTACTTGAAAATTGAGTTACATTTTTCCTATACAAAACATGCCTGTGGATCACTAGCATGTGGCTTTTATAAATGATAGGTAATGCAGACAGCCTGATGGTCATAAGTGGATGTAAATTATCAAAATGGTATAAATGAGGGGCTGAAAGTCCAGTGACTGTTACAGTAGCTTTTGATGTAAATTGACATTTTTATTTACCTTTCAAATGTGACATTTTACTAGAATAAAATATATATAAATATCAACTTTATTTGCATTAAACATTTTTAGGAGATCTTGTTTGGGGTTTCAGTTAAAAGGTGGAGTGGGGGGGGTGGAGATGACAAATTGTTTTTCCTGAAACATAGAACCAGACAGGTCAGTTTGTCTCATGCAGCTCCTGCAGTTCCTGCAGGCCGGGCATGCCTCGGGTCTTCCTCTGGCTCTGTTGATGACACCTAGCTCTGGCCCTTCTTTTGCTTTTGCTTGTATACTTGCATTCTTGTGGGAAGGTAGAATGATACAGATCACAGAGAAAGAAAATGAACTGCCTGACCTGTGCTGGGCCCTATTTGACCAGATGGTTTATTTTTTTTATCCCTGCCTTCTTCCTGGAACCTGATCACTTCTGTGGTCAACAGACTGACAGTGAGCGCACGGATACCGCGGCCGATGGGGAGACCACTGCCACTGAGGTTGGTATCGTGACTGAGGGTGACTGGAAGGTAGTTGCCTACTGCAGATGCCTTGTGGGTTGGCTCTGCACTTAAGAATTCTGCATTATCAGCTTTTAGAGTGGAGATCAATTCTAACTTTAGCAATAGGAGTTAAGCATATCTTTTGTTGCCTAGACAAAGGGTTTTCAGACTCTGCCTTGCATCAGAATCACCTGAAGGGTCCCAGCCTCATGTTTCTCATTCAGAAGGATTAGGGTAAGATTCAAGAATGGATATTTCTAATAAGTTCCCAGGCAATGTTGACTCTGTTAATCTTAGGATCATATTTTTGAGAACCACATACCAAAACTGGTCATACTTTTTAAAAATTCTCCTATCCCAAATGAATAGTTTTAATATGCATGATAGCCATGATAAATTGGAAGAAGAGTCACAATTAATTTAATTAGCTTATTTGCTAGATACAGATATATTTTTAAAATTGCAGAGAAGATATATTTTAAAAATTGCAAATGGTGATATAATTTTTGTTAAAATAAGACTTCTTTTAACTCATTTTTGTAGCCTTTGGCTATAGGCTGAGTCACTTGTAAGAAATGAATTCTCTGAGGAAAAGAAAATTAAATTACTGTTAGTACTTTTTTTTAATGTTACATTAAACAGTGATAGGAGAGATACTATTATTTCTCCTTTACTAATTCTTTAGGGAATATTAAAAATGTGTATATGTGTGACGTATGTTGTTTTTCAAATCTTCTCTACCAGTAACTAATTAAAATTTCTGTAAAAATAATATTTATCTATAGTAATAGAAGTCAAATGTTTATTTCCTGAAGTGCTCACAGAATTTATTATAAAGCGTTTTTTCTTTATAATAATGTTTACTTTAGGCTGTATGGTATTTTTTTGTATCAGTCAATCATAATAGTATTTTCCAGTTGGGTATTTAGAAAAAACTAAACTATTGTAAATGGTATCTGTACATCAATTAATTAAAAGTATCTTCAGAACAAAGTTTCATGATGGCACTTTATTAAGTTCCTTTCTTTAGAAATGCCAGAGTTCAACTCAAAGTTGAAAATCATGATGTTTTAAAGTTAAAGATAATATTTCAAAACTAGTATTCAGATTATTTTAAGCAATCATATATAAGTCTATTACAAGTTAATCATTTTCTGTACCAAATATAACAAAACTACACCTTAATTTTGTAATAGCTAGTTACTTGTAGCTATGGGGTAATGCACTCAGTAAATTTTATTGAAATCTTAATATTTGCTATGAATGAAAAATATTTTAATAATAATACTTAAAATTTTTATAGTACTTTAGAACGGGTTATATAACATTTTAAACATGTGAGGGAATACATGTAACATCGGTAGATTGTGAAGCTTAGAAATAAAATGAACAGCTGTGAACCCACCACACACTGAAGAATGAGCATATCACCAGCATTGTGTTCAAGTTTCCTGTGGGCCCGGTGGTACTGTTAAAACACTTTCCCTTCTCTTTGGGTGGCCAGCGCAGGATATGCAGAGTTAGGTAGTCTTGTCCCTAGTGGCAGATGAGAAGACTGAGACCCAGGTAGACTAAATGATTTACTTAAGGCCACTTGTTTTGTACGATGCTTTTCTCACATATAATTTCACTCTGAGTCTCCTCTTGTAGCTCTGGAATGTGAAACCCAGGCCCCGAGTCTGAGAGTCATAGTGAGAGACACAGCTTTGGTGCTGCATGCACATGTGGCATGGCCTACTTACTAATCATTGATACTCAGATACAAGTCCAAGGATTAGAAAGGTGCTTCAAATTAGAAAAATAAGGATAATAAAGAGTCTTTGAGATAAATATATTTTCTCAAATCTCAAAAACTGTCCTGCCTAGCTTTAAAGAACTGATGGTGTTATTGATAGTAGTCTTTGTTTTTTTTAAAAACATTTCCTTACTTGCCTCATCAGTTATTTCCCTTCCCCCCAAATAGTTTTTAAGAATATAGATTGAAGAAAATTAAGTTCCCAAGGAATTTTAAAGTGCGGAAAACTCTGTGTTAAAATCTTTGAACCTGGTTCTCTTGTCTACGAATTGGGGATCATAATAGCTGACCTAAATGGTTATTTTATACACTGCCAATGAGCTCTCATTATTTGTAAGCCAAAGCCATTCTTATGAATTTCAATTTTAATCTGGTTCCCCAGAACCATTTCTAATGTTTGTTAATGACAATCTGCCAAGCCCTTGATGTCACCTTCCCAAACACGTGTTTATTCATTGAAATGCCAAAGATCCACCAGACAAACAATCTTTTACTCCTATATTCCCATATTTTTATTAAGTTCTTAATTTGTGTGTGAGAATGCTGTGGGTTTTATATAAGAAAGAAATGGCATCCATATACAAGAGCACACTAGTGCTCGTGTTTAGCGAGTTTATATAGACCATAGTTCTTCAATCTTAGAGTAAATTGCATGGTAAGACTTTATTTCCCGCTCTTTCTTGATGCTGACAGTCGGACCAGGAGGAAGATGCAGAGCTCAAGGCACAGGTAGAAAATTAAAAATAGAACAAAAACCAGTGTGATAAGTCATTGTCTATCTACAGTGTTCAAGTCCTTCAGCATGCTCTGTAGCTGGTTACCAAGTTGTTGGTACAGTGTGTAGGGTGGCGATTGTTCCCCTGACTACTGTGTCCCTTACTTTTCCCTTTCTTTTCCACTTTTTTCAGAATAGTCTGATTAAGCGAATAAAGGGTGAAAATGTGTATGTCAAACATAGTAATCTTATGTTAGAGGTTGGTATTGGTATATACCAGTGCATGTTTGTGTGTGTTTTTCTTTTAGTGCAATATATGTGGGCTTGTACCATGATGCATGAACTGTGTGCTCACCTGTTAATCAGTAGAGATGACTTTTCAGCTTCTGATTCCCTATTCTCTCCTCTATATAGATCCTTTTCCTGTGTGTGTATTTATTTTGATTCTCTTGGGTTACATGTGAATTATACTCTTTACAGTTTACCTTCTAAAATTCTTTTGGTATTTGTGCTTGTGTGAACTGGATTTTCTTTTCTCTTTCATTTCTGTGGAAATATCACATTTTCACCAGAGTGTTTGTGGTAGTGCCATGAGCCCTGATCAAAGTTCTGTTTTATTTTGACTACTAATGAGATTGATATTACTTTAAAAAACAAAAGAGCTGAAAGCAACACAAATGTAAAATGTTGACTGTTGGATTCTTTATGTTCTGAATATAGGAGCTAGAAAAAACTCAAGATGACCTGATGAAACATCAAACCAACATTAGTGAGCTGAAAAGAACCTTCTTAGAAACCTCAACAGACACTGCCATAACGAATGAATGGGAAAAGAGGCTTTCTACCTCCCCAGTGCGACTAGCTGCCAGGCAGGAGGATGCCCCCATGATCGAGCCACTTGTCCCTGAAGAGGTCAGTAGTCAGGCTTGTGGTTGGAATTGGCTTCTGTTCACTAGCCTTCCTTTTCTACAGGATCTGGAATGGGGAAAAGGATTTGGCGAGGCTCTGAGTAGAAAAATCTCTCCTCTTGTCTATGTTTAACCTAAACAGAGATGTTCAGTGCTCCAAAGGAAACCTGCAAAGAAAAATGGTTAAGTGGCTGAAGAGGGAGTAATGGCATCAGATGGTGCTTACAGTGAGCAGGAAGCCACAGGGAGGCTGTAGTGCAAAATCAGCTGATTCTGAGTGTAAACTTAGATCTTATAGCTGGGAGAATCTGAAGTACTATCTTCATAAACTGACACTAAATATACTATCTTCTTCTGCCCTGAGAAATGCCCTGAAAGCTCATGTATGTTTCTCATTAATTGCAAGATGAGGCCCAGTTGAAATTGTCTGATGTTTGACGAAATTGACTAAACGTTATCTGAAGTTGATAACGTTTCAGGACAGTTTTACTCTGAAATACTCCACCAGGTTTTTGTTGGTATAATGAGTGTTTTGTTTTATTCTTATTTATAACTGATCATTTTAACTGTTTATAATACATTTCAGTTTATTTTTTTAATGAGGAAAGTAGTGGCCAGAAATTCTTTTTAAGTAATACTCTTCCATATGAGAAGGCACTCTTTAAATGGACAGCTGGAGTGTGTGAGGATTCAGCTGGTATTACTGTAAAGGTGCCATTGCCTGGGACCCAAAAGTTGCCATAGTGCTAATCTGACTGTCTACTGGTAGACATGTTGCTTCATCTCTTTTTCTAAAGAGGCAGTTTTTGAAAACTGCATCTTTTTAGCAGTGTATTGATTAGCCTCCTTTTTATGAAGATTCCTTTAAGGTGAATTATTTGTCCAGGAAGCTCAGACAGAAAGGAAAATTAAAACTTAGGCTTTTGTGGGAAAAAAATTCTTTAACAATGGTCTATATGCAGTGCTAAGTCCTTATAGTGAAAACAAGAATTAAATTATGCTCGTTGTTGATCATTTTCTAAACCTCCTTTGAAAATTGTTTATCAAAAGTGTCTAGGATCTCTAGACACTCTAGAATATTACTATGTTCAAGACAATCCAAATCCCAGCTAAAAAGGAAAGAGGTATCTATTTGAAATTACTTTGAAAAGGCCCTCATATGCAGATTAAATTAAAAGTACTTTGACCAAAGTATTCCTGTACTGTTAAACACCAGTTTCATTCAAATTACTGAGTTTCAAGAGACAAATTTCACATTCAAATTGATTTAAATATAAAATTCATTGCATTATTAAGAATGCCACTTATCAGTTTTATGTTCATAGTTTTTATTATAATTGGTCAAATTTGGCTTGTCTTATTTCTACTATTTCTTTCAGAAATAATGTGTTGACTCTCAAGATGTCAGTTACTGGATTAAGTTATAAAAACACAAAATAAATAACCACCAAAAACAAAAAACACATCTCTCTTCCCATGGTGTTATTTGGGAAAATGGTAGGTGGCAGCCACTCTGAATGAAAGTTTAGGGAACAGCTTAGAAAAGTTAAAGGCTGGTGTTAATCAGCAGTGGTACTTTATAAGTTTAGGCCAGTAGCCTAAAAAAGAATTTTTTGACTTTTTAAAAACCCTGCATCTTAGAATGACATTTGATGAACCCCAAAGACAGTAATTTAATATTATAGTAATTAACAATACAATCCCTTAATAATGTAAGGAGGTGTGATATGTTGAATATTCTGAACTTTCATTGGATGTTAATTACCATTTTTGTGTTAGTGCAGAAAAACTGGAGATGGCCAAAAAAGAATTTTCTTTCAACAAGATTAGAGGATAGAAACATGTCCTCTGTAGAAGAGCAAAGCAATTTGGTTATTTATATTGGAGAAGACCAAAGTCTAGCTTAGTAACTGCTTGCAGTATCTGCAGAGTTGGTATGCAGTCCCCCAGTGCTCCATCACCACTGTGAATAGGGGACATTGCAGAAAGAACTTGACTAGATAAAGAAGAACTTCTTAGAAGCAGAACTGATCAACCCTGGTTATCAAAGAAGCTCTGAAAAGTAGCTGTAAGGAGCTTCAAACCCTAAAGGAGAGGAATCTCTTTATGTGGTCAGGGTGCCATGCTTCCCTCAATAACAAGACCGGGCAGAGTGGCCTCTCCACCCTCTTCTACTCTTCTCTGGGACCTCATGGTCATCGATAACATCCAAGTTTATACTCCAGTTGAGGTACCCGTAGATAGCCTCTGGTTTGTAGAACAAACCAGAAAATTTTTATGTTCTACATTATTGTCAATTTCTATATTAAAACTATGGTGCTGTTTTTTGTGTGTGTGTGAAAAGCACAAAAGTTAATTTTATTCATTTTTCATCTTTTGTATTTTATCTGCATACAAAGCATAATGATTTATAAACATATAACCAAAAGATTTTTATTTTGGAGGGGACTTTTTAAAGTAAATTACTAATTTGATATCACCATATTTTAATACAGCTCACTTTAACAAATGTATTAAACAATAATCAGCTAGTTTAGAACGAAACCCAGTAATTTCTAGATGGACATATTTAATTTAAATTTTAAAATTGATATCTCAAATAAAGCAATATTATTTGTGTCAGAATGAGGAAGAAATTTAAATTCCCCAAACTTGTGATCACCCAAACTTGGTTGGTGTTCTTTCTTTTTTTAAGTCTCAGTGATAAAATGATATTTTGGGGAAAAAATCTAATAATGTCTTATTTTTAATGTGACCATCTTTTTTCTTTGTTTTATCTAATTTATCTGAATTGTTATTATAATAGCAATTGTTATTTCTACAAAATGCTACCAACTGATGATTAGAAGAAAGTTATAGGTAGAATTGCATATAATGAGCTAATAATGATGATTGTATCCTGAGAATTTTACGCGAGTTTTCTATATAAAAAGGAAATTTGATTGCCAGTGGTTTCAAGTTTCAGATATTTGAGTTAATAACAGACAAGCAGCAAGGATGCCCCCAAGCAGCAGATAATATCAAATTCTCATTAACTTTAGAAAATAAACAAACTCACATATGGAGCCCACCAAACATAGGATGTGTAGGGTATGTGGTATGTGCAGGGTTCCAAGTATGTCCTCTGTCCACAAACATTTCCCATGACAGCCTTTTATGATACATCTCGGCCTCATCCTGTGAGAGGTATAGTCCTTAGTGATTACTTGAATACCACAGACTTCCAAGCCCAATCAAAAGGCAATGCCTGTTAGTACCTATGCTGCACCAATTTGTCCTCTCTTTTATGTGAGAAGTAGTTTTACATGTGTGTTTACTATACCATAATTCCTTGAGCTAGATGATTAATATGGTCGATTCCAATGATTTGCAAATTTGCCTATTCCCTAGAATTTATTTGTAGAAATCCTTAATCACTCAAAAGTGAATGATATTGTGAATTTTGCATGCCAGTATAGAGCTTTGTTTCCCAGATATGATATAGAGACGGATGTTTAACTAAATGAAATCAATTGGGTGTACATTTGACTATATTCTGAGTCCTAAAAAAGTAAATTTTTAGATTATCACCTTTACTTTATCAGTACCTCTTCACTTCTCTATTAACTAAATTAACTGGATTAAGTTAACCATATATAGAATTTAATTCTAAAATCTATCCCCGTATGTTTCTGTTATTGGACGTACACAGTTTGGAATATGGGCAGTGTTGACATTTTTAATTATAAGACTCAGACATTTTTTGAATTAGTTGGTTTCAGACAACGACAGGATGTGCTGAAAACCACTATTTTGCTGGGGTTTTTGTTAAGCTTTTATCTTAGGAATAATATTTAGCTCAATGATTATAATTAGAGGCCTAGCAATTTTATTCTGGAAAGTACCTATAATTGTGACCTTTCCTTCCTGTTTTTCATTTCTGTTTGAAAAAGAGGCTATGATTGGAAGCAAAGAAAAAAAGGAAACGAAATCTACGTTTAATGATTCCACATGGTACTTTTTATCTTTTCTAATACCACCCTCCACAATGCAGAAGGACAGAGTTTTTTTTGTTTGCATTTTCTCCCTTGAAATTGGCTTGTCTCTAATTAGAAAGGATCATATGAGAATGATACTATCAAAATCTGTCAGTGGTCCTGTAGGATATTCCAGGTGTTCCACTATAATCTTTTGTAGAAAATGAATAAACGTAATACTTATAGATTTGTAAATGAGCAGGAATTTTAAATAGTTCTCATAAAATTATATTGTTTACAATGATAACATTTACTTAAAGAGTTCCATTCTTTTAGAAACTTTGAACTTTCTGTGATTCTTTTTTTTTATTTTAAGAATAATCTTCTAAAATATGCTTTCTGTTTATTCCTACTATGTGGAGTTGAACGCAGTGCAGAGTGAGGCTTGGTTGCTAATGTATTCCACCTGAATTATGCCTATTTAATACCACAGAAAGGAATAAAAGGTAGTTTAAAAATAATTTTAAAAACTACTTCCTGATATGAAATATTTACTTTTCATGTTTCTTAATTTTATATGTTAAGGAAAAAATATGATTTAATATACTTAGTTTTTCACCAAGGTATTTTGAAATTTACTTTTAAAAATAATTCACCATGTTATAAAAGTTCCAATAAACCTTGAATATTTTTTCTTTATTTGTAAGACAATAATGAAATCCAGCAGTAACTGGGTTTATCCAAATCTGTAGTAATGCAGTGACCTTGCGTGCATTTCACTACTCTATATGGACAGCACATGAATGGGGAATACAACCAAATACTTGTAAGAAACAGAAGTCAGGATTTATTCCTAACTTAAATTTTTTAAAACTCGTTTTTTTAATACTGACATAAACACTGTTCCAATGCCAAGAAACCTTTTATTTATTTATTTTCCTTTTTTCTCTTTTCTCTATAAATACCAAAATGAATTAGGATTAAAAAAAAGAAGAGCCGGGCTCGGTGGCTCAGCCTGTAATCCCGCGCCTTTGGGAGGCTGAGGTGAGTGGATTGCCTGAGCCCGTGGGTTCGGGACCTGCCCGGGCAACTTGGCGAGACCTCATCTCTACAATAAATCAAAAATGACCTGGGCGTGGTAGTGCGTGCCTGTAGTTCTAGCTACTTGGAAGGCTGAGGCGGAAGGATCACCAGAGCCCAGCAGATCAAGCCTGCAATGGCCGGGAGTGGCCACTGCACTCCAGTCTGGGTGACAGAGTGAGACTCCAACTCAAAAAAACAAAAACAAAAGAAGAAGAAGACACCCTTTAGATTGCTCTTGCATGTTCTGTTTGTAACAAGAAATGAAAAATGGTTGAGTTCTATAAACACCAAAGTTTCAGAAAATAATCTATTGCTCTTTGGAAATAATTCTTAAATTTTGAAGTGGTTTCCAACTGTTTTTCAAATTAATAAACAATAATTTACTTCCTCAGGAAAGCATGAAAAAAAAAAAAAAAAAAATATATATATATATATATATATATATATATATATGAAGTCCAAGAACTCTATTCCTAACTTGCCTTTTTGGAAACTGTCTACTTCCTTTCTTCCAACCCAACCCCCTTTATTCAAACAGACCAAAGAAGAAAGAGAGATTTCTGAAAAAGTTATATTTTTGCAGCAAGGAAGCTCTCCATTCCTTGAGTCTCAGGTAAAAAATGTGAAGGATTTTGCAAAAGAAATTGCTCTTCAGACTTTAGTGTCATTAAAATGTATTTCGTTTTTACTTTCCTTTTAAAATTTATCCTGTTTAAAAAGTATGTGACTTTGGCTTAGATCCTGGAGAAAGGAAAATGAAATTTTCTTAATATTTTAGTATTAGTTATGCATCATTTACTTATGGTTTCTGCTCTGAGGTGATTTATCTGTATGTTGCCATTGAAGCATTATGATTGTACTTTCTAATAACTTTTCACTGCCTGTTTTAACTCATAGAGTGGTGCTAATTGAGATGATGTTGATTGATTTTGAAAGTTCTGAACTGTTACTGGTTTTCCCACTAGCCGAGTGTGATAAAGAAAATACAGGAAGGAGATTCTGCTGACTCTGTGGTTACTTCTCATCAAATAATTTTCCAGAAAACTGTTCCATCGACCCTCGAGGTTACTTTTTCAATTCATTACATTAACCCAGCACAAGCATGCAAATCAACCTAAGATCATTTTTCCTAAGGCACACATATTTCTAGATGCAAGTTTTCAGGCTATAATAAATTCACAAATAGAAAACATCCTAGTTTAAAATGTAAATCTGCTCCTGGTTTGATATTTCTTCCTTCTGTAACCTATTAGGTTAGTCACCTACCTGGTTATATCCTATTATGCCCCCAGAATACCAAAGTTTTTTAACTTTCATTTATTTTGCATTATTAGAATTAATACTATGAGAAAAACCACTGAGATAACTTCAGGTGTAAATAAGATTGAAGCTAGTCACAGTGGCATGTGCCTGTAGTCCCAGCTACTTGAAATGCAGACGCAGAAGGAATGCTTGAGCCCCAGGGGTGTAAGGCCTGCCCTGGCAACATAGCAAGAGCCTACCTCTTAAAAAAACAAAAACAAAAAAAACTTAGGACTGGAGCATTGTACAGATCACTATGGCCTGCTTATAAGAGGCTGGCACAGTGTCCCATCAGTGGGAAAGATTCTATTATTATGCCCTGAACACAAGCACACTTAGTATTTATTGGATAATAAGTACTATCGTGGATTCAATTTTTTATATAAGAAAGTACCATTTACAAATATGAAAAATGGTATTTACAAAAATTTGTAGAATGTTGGCAAAGATCTTTGTGAGAACAACAGTATGTGAAGTATAGTATTATATTTAATGCAGAAAACTGCCCTTTTGTGTTGACATATGTAAACCTTGTTGACACATGCATAACTTGTACACCTTGAATAATGTTATTTAATCTTGGAATATGATCAAAATGATCAAAAATTTGTTATAAGATCAAATCTATTTCTTGCAAAACTTGCCACCAAAGTATTTTCCTAATTAAAGAAATATGAAATTACAACCCTACCTGAAGAATGTATTTTGAGTTGAAGGCTATAGTTTATGAATTTCAGAGAAGAGATTGTATTGCAGCCATAGTGGTTAGATATTAACACCAGCCCCATGCAGTCCCATCAGAGATCTGCATGTAGCTCTTGCCCTGATTTTCTTAAAGGATTCTTATTTTAGAAATGAGATACCATCAGAATTTCTAATTTAGCTTTTATATTTCAAATATAGGGCACAGAGGATTGGGTTATTGTAGACAAAATACCCACTGAGGTAGTTGATGGTGATTCGCAAAAGATTGTGACTTACAAGGTGGTGACCGTGAGCAGTAGAACTGGTGACCTCCCAGCCGACTTGTTAAAATCTGGTGCTATCAAAATGCATAGCTTCGATGACTTGGCTCGAGAAATGCAACTGAAAGAAGACAGCAAACAGAAAATATACACTCTGGGAAAATCCTATGACACTGTCTCTGGAAGAATTGTTACTATGACTGGGAAAGCTAAAGAAGGGGAAAAGGTAGTGCAGCCCTCTACTCTGGGAGCTCTTCAGAAAATGGAGAGAGGGATGTCAGAGTCAGTGAGGATCGTTCCCCTCCTGACAGAATATGAGGTCCTGGAAGCCTTTGCTGATGAAGCATCCAAGAGAGGACCCGAGGTCCAGGTGACCAAACGGAAATTGTCAGAATCCCTGGCGCCCATCAAGGAGGCTGAGTCTCGACGACAGAGTCCTGAAGAAGACCACCTTAAGACTGCTCCCGAGCTGGGAAAAGACGTGACCACCTACCCTGGCCCAGAAAGCGGAAGGAGCAGCAAGACGGAGCAAGTGCCAGAGAGCGAGGTCTTGAAAGTGGGACTCTTTGGTCCCCGAAGGAAGAGCCTATCCGAATGGAGATATTCTCAGGAGCCAGCCTTTACTGTTGCTACTGCTCATTATGTTACCGAGTCGTCTGCATCCCGAGTAGTGGTAACCCGTGGCACTCGTTGGGGCCACAGTTTACGATTCCAGCATGACAGTTTTTGAGGCAGTGCCCTTCCACCCCAAAGCTTTCTGTTTCTCTTGCTGCTTGGCTTTATGTTGAGAGCAGCCAACCCGGCTTTTTAATTTTTTTCATGGTTAAATCAATACCGCAGTGCAAAGTCAGCATTAAAACACTTTCCATTTTATTTCTAGCTCCCCGTTCCCAAGATGTGATAGTGCTGCTGTGGCTTGCAATGAAGGAAAAAATGACCTGCTTAAATCGGCGCCACCCTGATCCTAATAACTCTCTCTGCTTTACCAAACAAGAGCTCCTGGTCACCCTTGTTTTCTTTTTCTATTTTATTTCTCATTCTTTTCTGTTTCCAAATTCTGTATCTAAGATTCCTTCATTCCTCCTCCCTTTTTCCTCTGCCTACGGTTTTGTCTAACAAGCTGTGAATGTGTATGTGCCTGAGTCTGTGTCTCTCTCTTGTGCTTGACTCTACCTTTCTTTGTTTACTCAGACTAAACAGTCTTCTGGTGAAAAACTCATGGATGGCTCTGAAATCTTCAGTTTATTAGATTCTGCACGAAAACCAACAGAATTCATAGGAGGGGTTACTTCTACTTCTCAAAGCTGGGTTCAGGTGGTCATTTGCTTCTGTCCTTGGTGTTTCTGAATGTGCCCGTTTGGCCTTCCGTGTGTGTGTGTGTGTGTGTGTGTGTGTGTGTGTGTTTTGCATCCAGGTGGCTTTGCCTCCAACACCTCAAAGGCGTCTTCAGCTGTTGTCCTTTGTGACTGTGTGGTACAAAGTTCCGCTTCAAGAATGTATTTCAGCTATTCCAAAGGCAATCATGTTGAGAAATTTTAATAGCATTTATTTTTTAAAAGCTTTTTCTCTCGCTACCTGAGTCTGAGAAAGCAACCGAATCCAATGCGAATGTGCTACAATGCTTTCCTTTTTTTTTTAAATTGCGCTTTTTACTGCATTCTATTTGTTTTGTGGGTGTCCTGAAGTAGCAGCGCAACTTCAAGTGTGGGAATCAGGGGCAGGAGTAGGCAATTCTGGTGGGAGGAATGGAAACTGATTTATATATTCTCCATCGGTGTTTCTGAGTAGAAGCACTTGAGGCTGGCTTTAGGCATCCTGGTGAGTGACGGCTTTGGTTATTTTTCAGCCTTTGGTTTATGGAAAATCCCACTGACCCTACAGTCTTTTCCCATGCAGAAAATGGAAACCAAGACGGAATCCAGTGGATTGGAGACAGAACCCTCCTCACACCACCAGCCGCCTAGCACGGAGAAGATGGTGCAGGAAACCGTGTTGGTGGAGGAGAGACGTGTGATGAACGTGCACGCCAGTGGGGATGCTTCCTCTGTATCTGGAGACGACATGGACACTGCAGCACAGCCTGCACCTGCAGGTGTTTCCAGTGCCGAAAGGAAGGAGGGCTCTGCTCTGACTGAGGGGGCTAAAGAGGAAAGAGGGGAGGAGGTTGAGAAAGCCGTCCTAAAACAGGAAGAGACGGCCACTGTTTCCCAGGAGTGGCAAGAGGAGCAGAGTACAGCTGTCCACATTTCTGAAACTTTGGAACAAAAACCTCATTTTGAGGTAACTAGCTGGTAATGTTACTTTTAGTACTAAAATAAAAGTGGCATAGGATGCCTGTAAATTCAAATTAGCATAAAGGTGGAGCTAAGTTTGATTTTGCACCTCTTCCCTGTGCAGTGTGTTTCTCCTTTTATTTCCTTTTTGCATGGCAATTAAGGGTATCCATGCCAGTTTCCGGTTTGGGGGTCACATGCAAACATATCCCTTAATTATTAATAATATGTAAGCCAAGCACAGTGATTCACACCTGTAATCCCAGCGCTTTGAGAGGCCAAAGCGGGAGGATCACTTGAGCCCAGGAGTTCACAACCAACCTGGCAACACAGCAAACCCCCTTCTCTGCATAAAATATTAGCCAGACATGGCAGCACATGTCTGTATTCCCAGTCATGCAGGAGGCTGAGGGGGGAGGATCATTTGAGCCCAGGAGTTTGAGATTACAGTGTGCTTGATCATGCCACTGCACTCCAGCATAGGTGACATAGCAAGAGCCTATCTCTATAAATAAATAAATAAATTACATACATGCATACATACATACATACAGTCTACCTCCAGGAAATAGATTCTACTCTCACTGAAATTGTAATTGGCAGTAAAGTTGGGGAATGCATGGTTGTCCAAGATATTAGAAAATTGATCAATTTATTTCTGATCAGTGTCCGTAGTCAGAAGGACCAAAAACCATTCTTACCTACATACCAGAACTGTATTCTTTATCTTCCTTTATTGAGATTTCTGAAGTATTTGGGGGCAGGGGTAGTTAATGTTTTATTACTTATTGCTTCTTTCTAAGAAGTTATTAAATAGGAGGCTTATTTATAGTTTTTTAGTTGCCTTCAAAATGTTTTCTTTTACCTGGAACATTCCAGATTAAAAATGCTATGGGATTCCAGGAGTTTTGGACAAGGCTGCTTGACATATATGTGTTGCATGCCTCATTCCCTAACTGACTCCCCACATTAACATTGATTTCATACTAACTTGTGCTATAATCACCAAAGGGGAAAGGAAAAAAAAAAAAACAACATGCGTGTTCATGCAAACTGTAATAACCGCTCTACTTACTTCCCATTGGCACAGTCCTCAACAGTGAAGACAGAAAGTATCAGCTTTGGCAGTGTTTCACCAGGAGGAGTAAAACTAGAAATTTCCACCAAGGAAGTGCCCGTAGTTCACACTGAAACAAAAACCATCACATATGAATCATCACAGGTAAGATGATTGGTGAAGACTAGAGCCCTGACACTTTATTCCCTCCCCCTTTAAGGTTTAGTGCATTATCATATAACTACACAGCATTAAATGTGTGAGATTTAGAGACTCCAGCAGCCAGACCATTCTATCAAGAGTCATGCAATATTCATGATTTTATTACTGATTATGTAGCAGCAGGTGACTTAACCAAGTTGTCATGTATCTCACAATACAACCAAAGGAGCAGAAAACAAACTCTCTAGAGAAAAATATTCACTCAGCCATCCACTCTCACATTTCTAAAATCCTGATATTTTTAAATGAGAGCTAACTCTGGTTGTGCTTAGTTCTTACCCTTGACAGCAGCTCCTAGACTCTGACTGAACTGCACAGTGATTGTGGGAGATAATAAAATCATCGTAATGCCTTAACTAACATAGCTGACTTCTGGAAAGGACATGTAAGCACCTGGATAAAGGGTCTATTCCTGTGCTTGCTTAGGTCGATCCAGGCACTGACCTGGAGCCAGGCGTGCTGATGAGTGCACAGACGATCACCTCTGAAACCACCAGTACCACCACCACCACGCACATCACCAAAGTAAGTGAGGTGGGAACCAAGAAGAGGATTCCTCGGGAGCGGGAGAAAGGTGTTTGCTCAAAACATCATACAGTCTGGGCTGCACAAGCTCATAGTGGCTTGACAACCAGGATGCCAAGATAGCTGCAAACGAAGCTTTGACAACTTCTAAATGTATGATGTGCTTGTTCTCATGAGTGAGTTTCTATTTAGAAATACACATCCTGGTATCTTGTGTTTAAGGTTTACTCTAGTGCTTGGCATGTGATAGGTATTCCAGTAACACTGGCCATCCAAACCCAAAGAACTCCGCTCTGTCCTCATTTCTGAAATTAAAAATGTTAAGTAACTGCCACAATTCTATTTCAGTTCTTGAAGAAATCTGATGTTACTTAATTCTGTGAGCATTTTCTGCCATCCCCCCCACAATCAGACAATGATTCTTTTTCCCGCATGAGTAAATTCATTAAGTTTCTTTGTGTTTCCTCAGACCGTGAAAGGCGGCATTTCAGAGACAAGAATTGAGAAGCGAATAGTCATCACAGGAGATGCAGACATTGACCATGACCAGGTAGTATATGTGAGATGGTAAATGCCCTGGCAGAGAAACCCGCTGGCCTTTGTGATTCCCAGTGCTATACTTCTAGATCAGCACGTATTCTAAAAAATTTTCTGAATTAACTTTCCAATATATGATTTACGATTCTTTTTGTAATCATTGTCCCTCATTTGTAAATTGTGGCTGTAGAACTAGCTCATAAGTCTCCACCTTGCTACTGATCGTGCATGTTCCACCTCCTTTTTGTCTTTGCCCTTCTGTGATTTCCTGGGGATAGGCGCTGGCTCAGGCAATTAAAGAGGCCAAAGAGCAGCACCCTGACATGTCAGTGACCAAAGTAGTGGTCCATAAAGAGACAGAGATCACACCAGAAGATGGAGAGGATTGACCAGAGGTAAGAGGTGACGCTGATTCTCCAGGCTTGCCTCGGCTGGCATGTGGCATGGGGCACTTCCTTCTCATCCTTCCCCTGGTCCCTCCGTTCCTTTGCTCCCTCACTGGCATGTGTAGAGCTGCTAACCAAGAGGACAGGGAATCTGTGTGTGGGTGCCAGTTTTCCTCACACGTGGAGGTTCCATACTTGTGGCTGTTTTGCATACACTGCCAGTTGGAGGAGAAAGGAAAAGCAGTCTTGGCTTGAGTGGTCTCACTGGTGTCCCCTTTTCATTCATGCCATGTACTGTTTTTGTTATCCAAATTTCAAATGTCAAATTTGATTTCATGTGCCATGCGGCCTACGCAGAACTAAGGCAGTTTTGCTCTGAGAGGCTCAATTTGTGTGTTCCAACTACTAGGGGAAAATAATTGATGCCCCTTTCTCCTTTGGATGGCAATATTATCCCATTGTAAGCTTTCTCTTCAACTATATTTGGTTACAGCCTGTATATGCTTTGGCATTTGGTTCTGTTTTTTAGTTTGAAAGCTGAGCACTCCCTTTCTTTTTTGGATGTCTTATATTTCCTGTATTCTCTGGGACAGTTTTCCTCCCTAGTGTAGATTATATCGCAGAAGGAGGCAACAAGGCAGTCTTGTGGTCCTCTAGAAAGTGCATGCCTTTCCAGCTGCTGTTTGGCCCTTGTCGCGACCGTTATCGTCTCTGTGTGCACAGACTTGTCATGCATACTAACCTGCCATGCAAGAACTCATGAGCCGTGAGCACTTCTGAGAGGGCTTTGAATGCTGAATGCAGTGGTTGAACTACTTACACATTTGTTGATGTGATCAAATGTTTAAGAGACTTAATAAATGAGTTCTTTAACACTGGTTTAAGAAATATAGATTGGTGAGTGGTATCTCTTAAAGAAAAAATATAAAAGTCACTCATTATAGATACGTAATGTATTTTAAAAGACAGAAAACAAAAATATTTTCTTCAGTGAGCTTCAGTCACTTGGGTGATGTTTTAATTATTTAAGAGAAAGCATACCATTGGCAGTGGCTTAATGCTGGAATGTTATGGTTTCTTGTCAAAAAGCGTTCTGACGTCCAGGATACTTTTTTTTGTGACCTTGGTCACAAAACCTTCAGATGTGTTCAAATGAATAACTAATCAAATCTCTTTTCTGCAGGAATAACTTAGCTTGCACATGAATCCAGTCATGAAAACCATTAGGAAATCCAGAGCCTATATGGAGTTCCCTCTTCTAACCCAACTGACTTGTATCTGTCTGTGGAAAATTTCAATCCAGAAGAATTGACCTTGACCATTAATAAAGACACTGGCAGAGAGATCGTCCCATAATAAAGCAATCCAAATCAGCATCACTAAACTGATATTGCATGAAGCAACAATAAAATTACAAAAGAGCAGCATTTTTAATTTTCACAAAATATCTCAGTTTTCAGCTATACGTGCACGTTCATAACCAACAATATAAACCGTAATCTCATGTAACACATAAAAACTCATGCCTTTCATAGTTTATATTATTAAAGTCTAAACAAAATCGCAATTTCTTAGGTGACAAACCTTTTGTTTACAGATAAATGAAGATTACCCTAAAATGCTAGAAGCTGTCTAGGTCCAGTGTGTCAGATTTATCCCTGATTAGATGTGCCAATAACCAAGTCTATTCAGTAAACAACTTGAATCTTGTACTTGTTTCTTCTGGTTTATTCCTCTTACCCATAAACAGTAATGACTCTCTGACCCTCTGGAAATATTTAATGCTTACGATCTTGCTTTGTGTATCTAATTTAATTCGTTACAAGGTAGTACTGATTTTAGCATATTAATGTGATTTCTTCCTTGTTGTCTGCTTTGGTCTGCGTTCAACTCAGAAAGCTTTTCAGAGTTCTCTAACAAGTCCTAAATATGTAAATTGTCATTATTTTGGGAAGAAAAACCTGTATCTTTGTTAGTTTACAATATTATGAAGTTTCACTCCAGGAAAATCTGTTGGGCTTCTGTTGATTTGTTCTCTTTATTTCTTTTTCCTTGTATTTTTTAATTGATTTTTCTTCTTTTACTTGAAAAGAAAGTGTTTGTTTCCAAATCTGGTCCATATTTACAATCTAGTTCAGAGCCAAGCCTTAAACTGTACAGAATTTCCACTGTAATTAAAATTATTTAGTGTTTAGTTATAAATAGCCCTCAAAAAGATATATTCTCCATTACACTGTCACCTGCATCACAGCCCATGGTGAATGTACGTTTCTGCATAGCAAAATAAAAATGGTAAATGCACTGAAAACTCTAAGTTTCCGTGTTTAATAATTTCAGTATTATGTGTTTAGGCCAGAGATAACATTTGCGTGACATCAAAGCCTCATTCATCTGCATTACAGAGATATCCTGTCTTTACAAGATTAAAAAAAAAAAGGCAGTGTATGGACCCTTTGAGGGATGAAAGAGGGTAACAAAATACGTATCTATAAGTGTTTGGTTGCCTATAGAGGTTTTCAAAAGTATATCATAGAATCTCAGTCTTAAAATTTTAGGTTTTTGTTTTTTGTTTTTGAATCAGAACATAATCTCTACCAGAAAACCAGGGTTTGTGAGTACTTTTACTCTACCAAAGAGACATCTCTCTATCAGACATCAGGTCCATAGCTGAACATATCAGATGGTGTGTTCTGTGGAGAACCTTGCAGCCTGTTCCAGTAGCTCCTTCATGTCAAACTCTCATTCAGGGACTAAGACTAAGACTTCATTACCAGGTGCCAACCTAGCACCTGTACTTGCTGGCCTGTCCTACTATGTCCTACTTTGTCTTTCTTAAAAAAAAAAAAAAAAAATTTACAGCAATGCTTCACTTCTTATATCAGTATCTATATCTCTTTTTTTTATTGTTGGTATGAGAAATTACCACAAAATTAGCACCCCAAAATAACACGTATTTACCATCTCAGTTTCTGTGAGTCAGGAGTGAGGGCATGGTTTTGCTGGGTCCTCTCTAAGGCTGCAGTCAAGGTGTCAGCTGGGGCAGGGGCTCATCTGGTGGCTCGACTGAGAAGGATTAACTTCCAAGTTCCCTCAGTTGTTGGCAGGATTCATTATCCTATGGTTGTGGCAACCTGGCAGCTTGCTCCCTCAAAGCCAGCAATAAAGGGGAGACTGTGGAGTGTGTCTGCTGGCAAAACAATGTCTTACGTGATGTGACATCATCAAGGGAGGGGCTTGCCATGTTCTGTTGATTACACACAAGTCATGGCTCTAGCCCATGGCATCAACAGTTTTAAAATTTAGATTTAGTGATTAGCCAATTACTATCTATCATTCCCTAATTCAATAGTTTTAAAACTCAGTTTCACTAATGTACAAACCTGGCTTAAGCTTGTTAAGCTCTCGGGTAACCTCAGAGTGTTTTGTTTAACCATTCCTACTAATAGTATGAAAAGATGCCAGATACTACCCTTTCAGAAACTGAAGAATTTCACTGCAGAGAGCTATTATTTTACAGAAAATAAAAGCTGGCTTTGACTTGTTTTAAGATTCAATTTGTCCTAAGATTCAAGTCTAGAATTAGTAATAAAACAAGATTGTGTGGTTCTCTTGAATAAACAGAAAAACAAATTGCAATTCTAAAGGCATGGTTCAGCCTACTGATAACCTGCCATTCCATGTCTTCACAAGGATCTGCAGAAATACAAGCTATGGTGTTACCAAGCCTTAACAAAGTCTGCATATTTTCTCTGGACTCCTAGAGTAAATTGTTAAGTCTAAGAATAGCCTTCAGGTAATATATTCCCTTCTTTCCATCAGTGGAGCTGGACTGGGCTTGGCCTGGGCAGTGAGATTCCAGCCTGTATGGACACAGCCTGCTCCTCCCTTAGCATTGGGACCAACAGGCAGGAACCACAGTGATGTGGAGACACCCACCGCTCCAGCAGGATAAGTGAGACAGTGCTAAGACGGTGGGGATCTCAAGTCAGCTCACTTCTATGGGAATCTCCTTTGCTTCTAGTCTAGTATTCCTTTCGGATTTCGGAGCCACCATGTCCCATCTGCTTGGGCACAGTGAGTGAGATCATGCACCTGTAGGATTGCGCTGCCAGTTTAACAGTCACTGTAATCCATTTCCTTCATTACAGCTACTTCCTCCCAGAACATCCATTGCTGTATTGTCAACATCAATCCTAGTGCTTCTGAAAAATCAGCACAATCTGGAATGTGAATTCAAAGTTGCTTGTAACTTACTAATGGGGCTTATAATACCTGGCACCAAATACTTTTTTATTTTTCTCACTGTGTCAATTTAACCAGTATAGAAGTCTTTGCATCGAACTGTCATTGAGGTGGCCTATTATTCCTTTGTGTGTGTGTGTGGGTGTGTGTGTGTGTGTCAGAGTCTCACTCTGTCACCCAGGTTGGAGTGTAGTGGCATGCTTATGGCCACCGCAGCCTCAACTTGCTCGCTTAGGCAGTCCTTCCGCTTCAGCCTTCCAAGGAGCTAGAACTACAGGTGCATGCCACTGCGCCTGGTTAATTTTTTTATTTATTGTAGAGATGAGGTTTTTAGTAAGTTGCCCAGGCTGGGCTCAAACCCCTGGGCTCAGGCAGTCCTCTCATCTCTGCCTCCCAAAGTGCTGGGATTATAGGCGTGAGCCACCATGCCTGGCTCCATTTTTAAAAAATAAAAATGTTTTTAGATTGGGAAATATAGTTTATTTAGAAAGTAAATGACAGAGAGAGAGAGAGAGAGATTCACCTCCCCAAGGTAGGGGAGGGGCAAGGCTAGAAAACATGGTGACTGTGGCTCAAGGAGCCACATAGTCAGATCATAGCTTAGCAAAGCAATGGCTAATGGAGAGAGAGAGAGAAAGGAGAAGAGATCCACTCCCCAAGGTAGAGGAGGGGGCCAAAGCCAAGAAACATGGTGGCCATAGCTCAAGGAGCCACGTGGGCACACGAGAGTTTAACAAAGCAACAGCCAAAAGAAAATTTTGTGGCAGGTCACTGGTACATATAAAATTGTGTTTTCAGAAGTGATGTTTTATCTTGACAAATAGTTTCTTATCAGAGCTGTTTAGCTCTGTGGAGAGTGACAAGAAGAGCTGCTGCTTCCCTATGAGTGTGGTTATTAAGACACACACGTGTGTACGGACACATATATGCACACTCTGCTCAGGAAATGGGGTGGAGACAATAGACTAGCTCCAAAGGGTTTTGACATGTCCTACTTTAGTGTCACTCCATTGTTTCTGACCCCAAATCACCTCCCACAAAGGTATAGGGACACTGAAGGACATCTAACTTGATAGCAAGAGGTCAAATCTATATGAATATAAACAACTTATTCATATGGGTGTTCTGGTCACCTTGTTACACAAGCCAGAAACCTGGGAGACATTCACACTACCGTATCCCTCGCCCATCCTTTCCCCAGCCTGCCAATGATATATCTTTTACTGTCTCAAGTGTAATCATGATGCTATACCTAATACTATCCAATAGCCAGCTCACTGGTGTTCCCACACTCTTACCCACATCATCCTAGTCTCTTACACTGTGGCTTGCAGCCTTTTAAGAAATATAAATGTAGGCCGGGCACGGTAGCTCATACCTATAATCCCAGCAATTTGGGAGGCCGAGGTAAGAGGATTACCTGAGCCCAGGGGTTCGAGACCAGTCTGGGTAACTTGGCCAGATCTCATCTTTACAATAAAAAAATTAGCCACGCGTGGTGACACATGCTGGCAGTTCCAGCTACTTGGAAGACTGAGGTGGAAGGATCGCCTGAGCCCAACAGGTCGAGGCTACAGTGGTGTGAGTGTGCCACTGGACACCAGCCTAGGTGACAGAGTGAGACTCCGATTCAAAGAAAAAAATATAAATCTAATCCTGTCTCTTCTGGGATTAAAATGTGTTTTGGTTTTCATATCTCTTAGTGTAAAGGCCTCGATTTTTTTCAACATGGTCTGAAACCTTTCATGGGCTGGCCTCTACCAACCTACTTTTTCAGTCACATGCCCCAAAATGTATCTGCTTCCTCTCTGATCCCTCTTCCTGCTGAAATACTGGTTAAGTGCTAGAATGTCCTCACCCCTTTTTCACTCAGCCCCCATTTTGCTGTAGATCTGAGCGAAAATGTTCCCTACTGGTTTTATAGATCAGCTTTTCCAATTATATGCTCTCAAAACATTCTTAACAGAAAATGCCATGATTATAATTTTTTACTTATCTGCCCAATTCTTTGAATAGATCTCTTCTGGATATCATGGGTCTGAAAGATGGCCCACCTCCAAGGACAGTGCCTGTATAGAGCGATGGCTCAATATTTGCATGCATGAATGAACATATTGATAAAGGCTTCTTTGCTAAGATAAATTTGAATCTTACCAGTTTTTTTTCTGAATTCTCTTGGAAGTCCAGCAAGTGTGGAGAGTGGTTCCCAATGGAAAGTCTCCTATTTCAGATTCCTTTTCAGGTCCATAACCATTGAGTCACTCACTATCTGGGAAACACCTCTTCAGAAAGTGATGGTCCTTTCCAAAGATCTCTCATTAGAAGTGACAGTTTAGTTTCAACTCCCTGATTAGAGGGGGCATTTATTACACATCTGCTGAAGGTCAGCCTCATTTGTTCAGGTTCAATCGGCTTCTGTTCTAGGGCCAATTATCACTATGTTCTAACACTTGTGTGTATTTGAAAGTGGTCTTGGAAACTGGCGTTGCCCTAGGAAAGAACCAAATTGTAAGTTTCACTAGATACACAATTTGTGGGCAATAGCAACCTTAAGCACGTCATAACATCTTTCTCAAGGTTATCAGTTCTTCAGTCTGGGCACAGTAGAGGTAAGAGAGCCATATAGGCTTAAGACCTTGAGGATACCTTTGACTCCTGTGTTTCTTTGCAGTGTGAAAGCTCCTTCACATCTGACCTTTCTTTGTCATCCTAATTTATGTCCCTGTGTTCTCTCACCTGGACTATTGCATTAGCTGCTAACCAGTCACTAGGTTTCATTCACCCACCACCGCCACTACCCCACCCCAAGCTCCCTCAATCCTTTATGCTGCTCACTTATCAATCTTAAAAGCACCATCATGACACGACCAAAAAGCCTTTGGTGGTACCTTTTCATTCCGTGTCTAAAGTTCAGTTCTAAACTCCTAAACTTAAGTTGAAGCTACATGTGCTGTACCCCAGCTTTCTGTTTTCTCCTCCCACATTCTACAATATCAACTTTACACTTCCACCGACATGACAGAGACATCAACATTCGTGGCAGCATTATTCACATAACCAAATGGT